AGTCTTCTTATTTATTGTTATTGTCATCCTGTAAAGCGCTTTGAGAAGCCACCTTTAAAGGCGCTATATAAAATAAAGTTTATTATTATTATTATTATTATTATTATTATATAGTACCCAGGCCTTTGGAAAAGACATTAAAGGACTCCAGGAGGATAATCAAGAAAACCTTTTTTCAGTTTCCCTTTCCACAACAATAACAACTCTGCTGAATTGACCTGAGGTGATCAGGTACTGTAGTTATACAAGATTGTTTCTTCTTCTGACATTAAAAAAAAGGAAAAAGATGCTGAAGATTTCAGAGGTTGTTACAAAGGTTCTTGAATTACAGTATAAGTAAAAAGAAATTGGTACTCTCAGCTCCTCCGGTGCAGTGCCTGATAAATACTCAATGACTAATAAACAAGCAAAATATATCAACCAAAATCCTTTACTATAACCTACAGTACAGTATAACCTTTCCTAGATCCAAAACAACAAATCTCAATATAGGAAACGTGTACAATGAAAGTACAAACCTTAATGCTCATTAGAAGTGAGTGTGCAGTGCAATAAGTAATACACTTTTTCACTTCATTCACAAGAAAAGATAATAACATATGTTATTTTTTCCTGGCAGTTGCCCCTGAAAAGGAGTATGTGGTGTACAGTTTGTCTTTTAACTTTGCTTGGTGCTGTTTATTTTGCTTTATTGTTCCACTAAACAGATGGATCATACTTTCCTGTATCATCTTACCTTCTTTTTCCTCCTCTCCCCTCATCCCCATTTTCCATAGGCTCACACCCACTTCCTGCAAAGCTGACTCTTTTCTGACTCAGACTTCTTGAGGTCAGGCAGTGTTTAAGTCCCCGCAAAATTGCTATTTGTTTTCGAGCACAAACAACCCCTGGAGTCGAACGCAACGCCTAGTTCTGGCAAGTGACAAAAGAGGCTGCAGACATCTGAGAGGAGACAAAGTATCAGTGTCAGTGACAGTTTGCTCACCACAGACATGTCTTGTTTGACCGCTGGTTGCATTACCTGACTTGACATAAGTTTTTCATGTTTACTTCTTTAGTCAAAGACACACGTAAAGAAACAATATTGGAATGTTTAGAACATGAAATACTTCACCTAGGATTGTTAGAGCTCAGAAAATGTGTCAAAGAGATTGCACTGCAGGTTAATCCCTCTCCAAACCCAAGAGAAGTTGTTTTTTCAACCAATGGTTTTTGGTAAAGACCACAAAATTAAGCATAGAGCAAACTGAAGTATAAATATTATTAATTACCCTGTCTGGAATTATAAATCATAAAGCACAAATGGATAATGACTGATCCACCATAAGCTTTGTGAGGTCAGGTCGCACAAAATGGCCAAATGTGGAAAAGTTTCTATTGTAAAGGAACAAGTAAAGGTTTATTCCATTCTGAAAAGAAAAGAGAGACAGCGTTTCTGCTGTGGACCCTTCTTTAGGTGTCACCTGAAGGAGGCTCCACAGCAGCTAAAACATTGCGTCTCTTTCTTTTCCGAATGGAATGAACCTACTGTATACTTGTTGCTCTGCATTCTGACACAGCTACCTACTTGAGTTGCTATTGTTAACTACTAGTTTTAAATTGAGTTTTTTTTTAGATTTGTTTCCTAGGAGCCATCAGAAATCCCCAGATCTGACCTGCCTGAGAAGCATTAGTATAGGCACTTGAAGGTACTTTGTCATCTTTCTACTCTAAAAATGTTCTTGACTTTATCAGAACAAATGCTTACCTATCTTACCTACAGTATCTGACCATGTACAGTAATAAATTACATTTTATTACCTGTATTTTTGTCTGACAAACATAATCTGGTCTTCTGTGACCTGCCAATTGTTGAATTAACACTTTCATTTCATTGTCTGTGTCATTTTTTAATTCACGTATGTTTTCCCCCAGTAATGTTCAGGAAAGAAATTACATCGAACACAAAATAAAGCACTTGGTCAGGATATTCCTTCTTTTAGCAATTACGTTTAGGGGGATCTTTGTTCCCAGGAAAACAGTGTGTTTCTTGTTTGTATCTTTGCTTTAGTTTTATCCGCAGCCTTGACAGAGAAGTCTGTGTTTCGTGTCACACTCTTTGTCTTTAAAAAAATCAGGTTATAATTACAGCACACAAAGGAGTTTTATGAAAATAAATACCATTTAACTAAGGCAAATAACCCCTTCCCTTCTAATTCAGAAAAGTATAAATTACAGATTTTATCAATGTTAACCAAGATGTACAGTATGCATACAATAGTGAAACATGAACCAGAAGTACAGGTGGAAAGGACATGGAAGTCCATTTAAAACTCAAAACAGGAGGCACTTCTTTACTCAAAGGATTGTGGGAATGTGGAGGAAGCTGCCCAGGCATGGTGTTGATGTCAATGACCCAGCTTCTTTCAGGAAGCAGCTGAATGAGATCTCCATTAATCCTCAATGAAGTACTAACTTCTTGTTCATAACATTTCTTATGTTCTTATATACAGTATATATATGAATAAAAGACACTTACTGTAACTGTGCTCTTTTGCTTTCTATCTTGCCATTTGTAGTAGTTCACTTCCACTGCCAGAGCTAATGGATCAGCTGTGTTCCAGATGCTCCTAACTGCCTGCAGTGCAAAACCTTTAAGGAATGTTGGGAAAATGGTTTAAAAGAATCATGGAGTGCTGAAATGTATAATACAATAATTTACAGATGTACAGTACAAGCAATTAGGTGGAAATGTTATTAAAACAGCATGTAACTCGTAAATTCACTGGAAACAAAGAGAAAGGAGAAAGGTAAACAGACCTCAATTATCATAATATGAACCCTTCTCTTCACAATGTGTATCCAGCAAACTCAGATATCCCCAAATAAATTGTTAATTACAGTAATTGGTGAAAAGAACAGTATAATAGCTAAATTCCTAATAGAAATTGACCATCGCCTAGTGGGAACTGATCATATGGACAACCATTTTATGATTGTGGTCACACCACCTATTTCAATATTAACGTATTTATTCATAAAAGGAAGTTCTGATCAACACAGCTCTTCACGTTTTATTAGCCTTGTGTTAACTACTCAAATTCTAGACTCTGGGACGATCGTTTTGACGTCTTGAACAGGTGATCAGTTAATTTACTGTAAGTTGTTGAGAGTTCCTATAAAATAAACTTCCAGCACCGCGTATCTCAAGGATTTTGGTCATTCCCTGCTAAAGTAATTAAAACTTTATCATGGCTCTTCAAAACCAGTGTTAGACATCGCCTGCAAAATACTTTTTTCTGGCTAATCGGAGGCAAAAAAAAAAAGTTAAACAGAACTACTGTATGATTGCATAAACACAATCCCCAAATTAAAGCCTAGACCTACAGTATAATGTAGTTGCACGAAAAATACAGCAGAAAATTATCGTCCTGAAAATGCCGTTTTTCAGCAAAGATACCCTAACAAGAGGGCAACGTAACAAACCAATCACCTCTTCCCCTTAATAAAAATGAAACACCGAGGACATCCTGTTAGCAATCTACGGGATGTGAACCCTCTTGGTACTGCGATACTGGGTTATAAGAGGGATAGACTTGTTTTGCTTTATACTAGATTGCCAATTGAATCCCAGTGTGCAGGCAGAAAAACATCGTAGTACATTTTTCCTGTTAACACAAAATGCTCACGAAGATATATCAAATAGGCTTCATAATGCTTTACGAACATATTTTCCTAGTTAGTTACGCTACTGCTCCACATTAAAGGATTCCGCTCGGTCCCCCTATCTCACTGTGTACTACGGTAGTGACGATGCGCTGCGCCGCGCCACAGCCTTTTTCTGCGTCCCTAGGCAGGGTTTATTATCCTAAGAGGATCTAATTGGATAGAGGCAGAGACACACGTGTTGCTGCTAATCCGCAAACTCAGCTATTGTGACACCCCCCATGCCAGAAGGAGACCAAACACAGATCTGTATCCACAAAGAAAGCACACAAACTTGCTTCTGGAGTCGCGCAAAGAAAACAAGACAGGAATTTCCACAATATGAGAACTCATAGCTTCATGCTGTGCCCTCCTCTTCTGTTAGCCGCCAGTTTATTTCTCTGTACTGTTGGCTCAGTGAGTGGTAAGTCTGATTTTTTTTTTCTTGTTAGTTATTGGGCACCGAACTGTCCTGAAATAGTGATGACTGGTGTCGCGGTGCGTCATAAATTTAGGAACATCGAGGTATTGCTATTGTTATTGTTGCAGCATTGTTCAAATGGCTTTTCTTCGGTATTTCCCCCATTTTTGACATTTCTATTTATTTAAAAAGTTTTCCCATTTATTATTTTATTATATTAATTTTATCAATAAAACGTCAACATCGCTGGTGAAGTTATATATAAGAAGCATGAAGAGTTGTTTGTTTTCATGCAGGTATCAGTACGATGTTTCGCGTGAGTTTCAAAGGTGTCATTTAAATGACGAAATTTGTTAGACTGACATTTTATGACTGCCTTTCTCTTCGCGTCCTTCTCATCTCGCATCTGTATCTGAAAAGGATAAAAGCTTTTACTCTTGAACTATATGGGTGGTGATCTATCCCTCTCGTATCCGAGTGTTTTCAATTCCCTTGTCTCGGTGCTGGATCGCACTGCGATCCCACTTGATTAATGTACTTTGCCTTAAGAATGGACAGATGTTGGTCCGTGGGAACAGACCATACTTACTGTATATCGACATGTACTGTATTCATTTAGGGGCATTCTTTCAGAGGTAATAAACAGGCTAATGTACTTGTTCACATGATAGAGACAGAAAAAATGCACACTCGAAAATTCTTCTGGATATCAGAATGAATGAGATGCTCGTGTCCATCTTTCCGTTTTAGTTGCTGCACTTCTCTCAGTAAAGGCCAAACTGATCTCAACGGGCTGGAGCGTATTACGAAGCTCTCTTTGGGCACATGCCATCACTGATTTACTGCTTTGGGCAGTCGGTAAAGTCATCGCTTCGTTCCCGCATTACATGTTTCTGTGGGAATTTATATATAACGAAAAATAAAAAAGCCAGACATTACTCAAATTGTTCCCTACACCCAAAAAAAGGCAAAAAATGTACAAAACAGTACTGCTCTCTCTCTCGTAAACAAAGCTCAAAAGTAGAAACAAGCCTTGTTGATCTAGTCTGACTGCATCGTGATTATTTCATGCCTGTCTGATTTAATTTTTTGTACTTGCCTTTTTTTTTCTTCTGACACCCTTAAGTCTACGTGTCCACAGGAAAAGGGAGAAGTGCTCTTTTTTGAGGTGTCCCACAGGTCGGCTGCGGGGACTGAAACTTGAATTTCACAGCAGGCTGAGATTTTCTGTTCTGCTTTCCATTCTTATAAAACGCAAGTCAGTGCGTGTGGAAGAGATGGGACAGGGTTCTTCTGGGTTTGTTAGCAACTAAATAAGCAAAAACAGCCTAATGACTGCTTCCTCCATGTAAACTCTTTCTTAAGATGGTCTTCCCCCACACCACTGTAAACCTAAAAAGGCATCTACACTTTTCTTAAAACCCCCATAGGTTTAAACACGCGTATCCACACATTCCTGTGCTGCTGAATACGACAAAGGAAATGTTTTTTTTTCCAGCTTTTTAAGTATTGATTCTTTTGTTGAAAATAAGACAACATGCTGTTAATTTCACTTTTGTAACTGTCTGGTAGCTGTCTTTTCGAAGGTCATAAAATGTTGTCAGTCACCATTGGGTGCAGGGCTTTTCAGATAAGCTGTATGTAACCTTGTGAAGGCTGTCTGTGACCTGAAGTTCGACTGTCTGCCACAAAAAGGACTTTTAATACATTTTCCTTTTTGGTCATTGATCAAAAAGACCTGTTTCGAAGTGTGCCAAGTTTTTTACTCTTCGTGAAATTATCACACGGCATGTCTCCAACATTAAGATGTTTGCTAGAACTCAGTTAGGATGTCATTAGGGGTAGGAAAATGGTATCCAAAAGAGGAAAGAAAAAAACACCGGAAGGAAACGCCAGTTAGGCTTTTAAGGGAATGGAAGATTTAAAAAATTATAAAACACTGTTCTTAAAGAAGAACTCTTTTGAAGGATCTGAAAGGGTGAACATTAGTCATATTGAGCTGCTTGATAACAATACATCCTCTGGACAGTAGTTTAATGATGTTGAGTTGTACTGTACAGTAAATGTTATTATGCAGTGTTTTCAGTTAAATTGAAAGTCTTAAACTGCATGAATAAAGGGTCAGACAAGATATTGATGCAGTTCTTTGTGCCTCTGTACATCTGGAGGCCGGAAAAGGACTTGGATATCTTTGAATAAACGGACAGTTAGGCAGCAGAGGCTAATTACAGCACAACCATTAACACGCAATTTATGAGTATGGTTTTCCATGGGTTACAGTTACCATCTGGCGGCTGTGCTCTGCACTTTGTCTGTACTTTATGGAGACTATGTGCTTATTTCTAAATGCTAAAGTGACTATGCTTATCCTGATTTAAGGTTGCTAAGCACTTTTTTTCTGCTTTTTCATTCCTTGGGTCTTTCCTGTAACACTAGACACTGCATTAAGGTATTTTGTGTCGGCCATAGCGTTTAGTTTTGTTTCTGTAAGCTGTTTCTAATATAAGGGTGTTTCCCATCCAGCTTTCCATAGCAAAATGTTTTTTTTCACTCCTGCGCAGAAGTGATCCTCTCCCTTTTTAAAGCTGTCTGTCTGTCTCTTTTGGCATCATATATGGCAACAACCATCACTATTCCTTTCACACAGCTGTACTGCTAGTTATAGTTTGGGTACTTTTAATGTAATTGTTCTTTTCTGGAAAAGTTTTGACACTGAATCCTATTGAAACTGTAGGTTGCTGTTCAAGACATGTCCTGTGATTCAGCATCTTTGCAGATATCAAATTTATCTCCTAGGGCAAGTGCATGAACTCCTGATTTATTGGAAAGTTTGGAAAATGTTAGGCATACACCTTTTACTCAATGTATTTTGGCATTGGCCTCTTGATTTTATTGTTTGCAAAGAGGTTTTCACAAAGCATTACAGGCATACTGTATATCTTGCCACAGCATTTCCATGGGGCTGCCAATCTTTGTCTGCAGCTCAAGAATTATTAAGTTGGCAGCACAACACATTAATGTGTAATTTCTTTAGCAGTGCATCAGTTGTGTACTACATTACCTGTAAAACAATATCTAGATTAACAGTAATTATAGGCTCCATAACTTTAAGGGAAAGCTATAATTTTACAAAACGTCCTTACTTGTCATGTATACTTTTTAATCCTGCATGTCACTAAAATTACTTTTGTAATGCAGCTCTGATTAATTCTAAGACTGTTTTCTGGGTTTATTTTTAGCTGCAAATAGCTGTGCTGTTCTGGAGTTCTGCCTGAAGATTATCGAAAGCCTGCCTCGAGCTCTTCCTGTACCCAATCCATAGGTTGGCCTGTCCCTTTAAAAGATTATCAGACTGGTTACATTTGTGCTTTTGGAAGGTTGAGTCATGTTGCTGCCATGTGACAGCGACAACAGAACTACAGGTACCCACTTCACTGGCACTCGGGCTATAGCTCTAATGAGTTCCCCTGACTCTCTTTAATCAGCTTGATGAAAAGCCTCCCTACCTATTGATGTCCTCATCCTACGACACTTTGATGCCAATTCTGTACTTGGGAATTGAAAAACAAATGACATAAATTAAGTCCCACATTCAAAAGTTCCTCATTCAGATTCCCGGTCTAGAAAATAAGTTTTCAAAGCCATTTCAATGTCTGTGTTAATGCCTCAGTATTTCAATAAACCATAAGCTCATTCTGAAAATCTTTCTTGTGCAAGCTTCATTCTAGGTCCCTGAAAATGGTTTGCAGTTCACAAACCCCGGTTAGCTGAGCATGGCTTCTGTAACTTCTTGATCATTGGTCCATCCTTAAGATAGGGACCTCATTGAAATAGTTAATAAAATAATTAAACTAAATTGGGAAGTAAAATAGTATTGATAGTGGGGGACAAAGAACATTAAATCTTCTCTGACTTTATTTTGCAAATCATTTTAATTCAATTATTAATGCAATTTTAACACACAATGTAACTTAGATTGGTCTTGGCCTGACCTGACTGTTCCATAAAATGACAGATATTTAAAATATAAAAAATGAGTCACGAATCATTAGGTTTTGGGCATTTCTTATAGAAAATCACTGTTCCTTCCTCCAAAGGAAGACTCCTGGGATATGTTTCTGTTGTCTGGAGACACTTACAGTAGGTGGCATTTCTGTAATGAGTTCTGATACAGGAATAATGTTGATTATAGGACATGCATCCCCACAGATCCAGTGTGCTCAACTGCCATAATTGAAAACTCCTCCTTATTTGATTATGGTCTAAGTAGCTGTTCAACAATTCAGTGAATTCAGCTATTTAATTTAATGTAGTTCAAATTAAAGCCCATGGGAAACAAACTGGTGTTTGTCCAATCCAGAATAAGCATTAAAATTTTTGTTTTGTCCCTGCAGTATTATTGCTAATGGCTGATGAAGATGCTGGATTTTGATATTTGACAACCATTTATGAGCTGAATTTCAATATTTGACATATCGTTTAATTGTATTTCTGTGTACGTCTGCTACGCTTTTTCTTGTTAAACAGAAGTGAATCTCACAGGATCATGGCCTTGAAAGCCATATGACTTCCCTCAGCAAAAAGCATTTTTTCAAGAATGTACAGATTCTGCATTGTAGCCCTCAGCAACTCTAATCTGCTTATTCTGCCTCCCACTCCTTCGTGTTCTAGAAAAGAAAACACTTTACGTCAGTAAAAGATCTTGCTTCACTCCTTGACCTTTTAGAATTGGTTCGTTGCCTTTTTCACGTGAGTGGGGAAGTGTGACATGCTGGGACACGGGAACCCTCTCACTTGTTACTTTAGACCCAGAACTGCAGTCCATTTAACACTGGAAGGTGGTTTAACAAAATAATAAAATAGTGGATAGTAATAAAAGCCCTGCTGCTGGGTGAAAAGGAGAAGTGAGAAGGTGAGATTGTCTGACAGCATAATTTCAGTTCAAATATGATATCCGGTCTAGATGTTAAAAAAAAAAACTTGCAGGAATGACAAAAGCAACAATGAGTTTCTGGGGATGAAGGGGCCTTAACCCTTGAAGAGTGAAGTGAGACGGAATACCTGTCTAAACGGTGGCGAACAGCTTGCTGAGGCTACTGTAATTGCAGATATTTTGTAAATGGCTTGATTATCTAGCTTGGGTTTCTCTGAAAGACAGATTTACATTCTATGGTTTGCTGCTTAACTGCCTCAAAAATGTGAAAAAGTAATTAGATTTAACATGGGACGCAAGAAGACGTGTCCGTCTTTAAAAAGCTGTTCACACAAAATATGGAACTCTTTGTCCAAACAAAACCCATGTTTGGTTTGCTTGTTAAATTGGATATGGAGTTTTGCATTAAATAATTGGTTTAGACAGGCACAATCTACTGCTTTTTAAACAACAGTGACCTTGGCCTTCAGAAGTTTTGTTTTGCTAAATAAGGTATCTATCTGTCTTGATGTAATTGAGTAGGGAAAGTTCCTGTAAAACAAACAATCTAAAATTCCACGAGATAAGCAGATATTTGGTGCCGCCAAGTTTAGATGATGACGGTGCAGAACAGTTTAGATTCTGAATGTACTTGTCTTTGTGATAACATTTCATTGGCAGCAGATAGGGAAATAGTGAAAAAATCAAGCCCATGTCATTTATTGAAGGAAACAAGACGTCACCATTCAAATTGCATAGCTTTATTTTGGGGATTGTTTTGGCATTAGGTCAACAGTACATGTTTCCCTGAGAATGGGAGCTTTCCATTCTCTCAGGTGGGGAGAAACTGAAGTCATGATGGATAACGCTATGGAATTTGATGTTTTAACCTGTAATTTTCACTTAGAATTATTAGTAGCATTAGGCACACTTTGTATCGGCTCAGCTCACTGGGTTTCAGTGACCTTTGTGTAGTAAACACTTGTTTCTGGGAGACGGGCCTTCTGGCAATCGGTGAGGATGGAGGAGAATGACAACGCTGAGCTGTGTGTTGCTTCAGCTGGCTAGTGTACATGTGTTAACAGCTGCCACTAAGTTAGCCTCGCTCCAGTTATTAGGCTAAGGAGCCTGAAGTGGACTCCTGAGGCATGAATCTTTCTGCCATGAGTGTTTCTCTGTGCTGAGAGGAACACCCTGTTCCAGGGGTGTGATCTATGGTGAGCAGGGTTGGCCTTATGGGTGGCTAATCTGGGCAACCATCCAGAGATCCAGTGAGGGCCTTGGTCAAAAGGGTGTGAAATGAAAAAATCCAGGAAAAAAGAATTAAAATGCATAAAACATGCATTATTAATAAGTGATATTTAAGAGGAGAGCAAGAAAAAAATGCTTGGGAAATGCTTGACTTTGGAGAGTCTGATGTTGCATTTCTTCTCCCCAATTGAGATGAAGGGATACCAAATGTGAGGTTTGCAAGTTCATACTAGGTGCCCTTTTTTACAAAAGGGCAGCACTGATAGGGAGGTGCTAATTTAGATTAAAGAGGTGAAGTCAGGGAAAGAAAAACATGTTTCTATAGCTCACTTTTTTTTTCCAGCCTGACAATTTCAGAACTTCCTGTAGTCAATTGCTTTATTCTTCAAGGGTGGGGCAGATGTTAAGTAATTACCATTTGGCCCTATTACTTTTTTTTCAAGTGTGTGAATGTTGAACTGTTTTACCTTGCAGATTCCTTTGACAAAATGAAATAGTTTTACCATTAGAATTTTAAAAGCTTGATGAGCTATGGTGAGTTTTTAGATGAAGCCAGAGCATCTGTTTAACCAATTGTCATGATTTAGACTCACGATTTCCCAGAATTACATTTGGATACCTTATAGATTACTGTCTCAATGTGGAAATGACTACACAGAATCTAGATTTCACAAGGAGTGTAGCTTTTTTTTCCAGCTAACAATACACAGATCTGACAGAAATATCTGGGCTGAGTTATTTGCCCATTGTCCATAGATAGCTGCTTCAGCAGGTTAGGCAACCATTACAGGTGCCCTGCATTTCAACAGTGCAGCCTTTGCTAGCCTGTTCAGCATGGAGTGCACATGGACAGATAGCTGCAGTCCTTTCCCTTTCCTGAGCCATTGTGCTGCACAGCTGTATTGGGTGATGTTAAGGCTAAGGCAGCATCGCTGATAGTTTTCTGTGTTTTACTTGCCAGGTTTATGATTTTAAAAACTCAGGAAGTGGCACTGACCATTTACACAGCTTCCTTTAATCCCTCTGGAGCAGGTTAAAAAAGCTTCATCTCCTCCATACCGGAGGATTGCAGGCCCACACTGGTGTCTTCTCTTGTCACCAGTGCTCTTCACCTGTCCAACTCAATGTAATGCAGGTGCTGTGAATATACAGTACAGTCAGTAACGGATGGAGAAGGCACAGTGGCTTCCACGCACTAACCGCTTTCTCTGTTTTCTTTTGTTTTGACTTCTTTTCAGGCGATTACTGTGAGGTGAACTACTGTTTAAATGGAGGGACCTGTGTGACGAAGGTCGGCGATGCCCCCTTCATCTGTATCTGTGCCGATGGCTTCACTGGAGAAGTGTGCAATGAAACCGAGAGCGGTAATTCTGCACTGTTCTGTGGCCCGGGAGGGAGGGGATGAGACAGTGGGAGGGGGGAGCTATTAGAGGTTTGTGTTCGGCTGTTTGACATACTAGAGCACAAAACTTGTCTAGAAAAGGAACTAAAGCAGAAAAACAACTGGTACAAGATGATGAACTGAGACAAATGCTTTTGCTAGCATAACACAATTGCGGAGTGCATGTAATTTCCCTACAGGATTAATAAAGTATTATCTATCTATCTTATGTTTCGTTTTATGTTCTCTCTTTCTGACCTGCAAAAATCTAACATTCCTGTTGACAGATGTTGGGGGTGGAGGGGGAAGTACAGATTTCAAAATTTAAAAAAAAGGATTTTTCCATACCTCTTGGAAATGTTTTTTCCAATATCTGTTCTTAATGTCTGGTGCTGCTCCACATAAGCAGGCTCTGATACCAGAATGCATGCTTGCCCCACAGGTCCGTGCCACCCTAACCCCTGCCACAACGATGCCATCTGTGAAGTCATCACCCATTCCCGGCGTGGGGACATGTTCAGCGAGTACATCTGCAAGTGTCCCCCGGGCTACAGCGGAGTTCACTGCCAGAACAGTAAGGATCTTCTTTATCTCTGTGCAAGAGATGTGGCCTTTCAGTTTTAGAAAGATTTTAACCGTATATGTTTTCATTGCTTCCCCAAATGGTCTAGGTCCAGGACATGGTGCATTTGTTCCTGGTTGTTATTTCAGAGCTTAGTGACTTAACTGAACCAATAAGTGGGTAAGAAAGCTGTAATTTCAAAGTTTGAAACTGAAAGATCCCTCTAAAATCTTTAGGTGCTCAGCTCTTTAGGACCAGAGTTGCCCAACCCTGTTTTGAAAGATGTACAGTTAACAGTAATTTCTGAAATAGACATAATGGAGTGTTATTAGAACAGTTTTACTTTTTATAGGATCGGGCTACATTAAACCTCTCCAAATATGTAAAAGTAGTTCTAAAAATAGGAATCGTAATAGAAATACCATGTCCTCAGTATATCAAAACAGCTAATTTCCAATTAGCTTTTTCATATCCCCTCCCGAGTCTAAAGTAGTTTCATAATGGATGTTTCAGTTCTAGCATAACATCTATTGTTCTTGTTCTGTGAGCCCCTGGCAAGTTTGATCAAGTGATATCAAATGTATCAAATCTCCAGTTATAGTTTCTAACAGCCTTTGTTGGAACCAATGTGTGTATGTGTGTAGAATAAAATTCTCTGCAGAATTCTGGGTGTGCCCTGTACCTCCTCTAGTATACCCCAGGAAGTGAGGCAGCAGGCTTCTGGAGTGTGGTGTACCAAGTGTCTCAAGGGCTGGGGTGTTGCAGAGTGTGTGAGTCGGCGACAGGGCTGCCTGTGGTATACACTGACTCACTGCTGACAGCTCAGCCAGTCCCCATACACCACAGACTTCGCTATAGTACATCCAACAAGCAGGAAATCCACAACTCGGCATACTGCACATGCTGCAACTGATGTTATCACTCAAGTATGCAAGACAGCTTCCCAGAGAAGTTCGTGTGAACATCCAGTACACGGCATTGTCAGAAAACCATGGGTTTACCACATTCACCTTACTACTCAAGACTGCTGTTCTTTCTGCAGTGCTGAATTTGCGATCGTGTGGAGAGATCCAGACCATGCCCTGTTCACTTAGTCAAATGTATAGGATGGGGGTTTCCAATCCTAATCCCAGAGAGCCACATGTCTGTCGGTTGTTACTTCAGCCAAGATGTCAGTTGCACCATTGAGTTTGTGACTGTTTTCAGATTTTTAACCAACTGGAGTTAGCATTTTGCACTGTTGCTTTTCATAATTTACATCAAGCTCTTAAATTGAATTGAAATGCCAAGCTCTTGAATTGGAAATAAATACTTGCAAATGTTACAAGCAGCTTACTAATAAGATGCTTCACTAATAGTTACTAATAATAGTTAATTACTTACTAATAGTTTAAGCTTCACTTAGGTAATTAAGCAGAGCTGGAATGAACACCAGCAGGTGTGTGGAACTCCAGGACCAGGGTTTGTAACCCCTGGTGCAGGACTTCCATCCTGTGCACAATGCAGTAATGACTGTGTTCTGCACTGGCATTATACGTATGCTGTTGGAATGCTCTATGGAAGAGTAGAACCTGAGTTGCATTTTTACCCTGGCACAAAGAATACTTCCGCATGCCCACGTATTAATGCATTCAGCCTGGATACTACTGTTTTGTTGAATTAAAGACTGGTGCCTGATGTGTACCAAACGTATATCAAGTTTTTCTTTCAGCTCTGGAATTCTTCACATTTTTAGTCTCACCCAATATAATCTGTTGTTTGTTTGCCGATTACAAAACCGCAGCTTCTTAATTTTGCTCAACAACTCTTAGAGATTACATAATCTGGTCCTGTTGCCTTTTGTGGTTTCTAATCTTCTTGAGTTAGATTGAACTGCAAAGCTTAAGTCCTAGTATTTTTATCGCCACGTTGGTTACATCACAGATTGCAAATTGTTTACCCAAGATTGTTTTGAAAGATAAATTAGCCCAAATCAGGAACAATGCTGAATAGGAGGCATGTGGCTCTTGAGGAGCATCATTGCTCTGATCAAACACAATGGCTGGTCTTTGTTCCTTGTGATAAACCCAGATCCTTCATACAGAGTGGGGCTTTTATTGAACCTACAGCCTGGGGTGCTGGCATGGACTGAGTAATGTCAGGGCTTCCACCCCCTTTCCCTCACCAGTTTTCATCGGTAACATGCACACAGAAACATGCTGCAAGGCTCTTCCCCAAGTCTGGAAATGATGGCTCTTAACAGTATGGACTGTATTGTATGATATTACAGTGTGGGACTGCTCTTTGTGTCAAGTCTATTTCTTTTTCATGTAAAAGCCTTACATAAAGTCAACACAGGCTTTGCAGTTAGATTTACAGGATGCATGCTCTCATGCTGACAGGTCATCTCTTTCACAGCTCCGTATTATTCTCAGATTTGTAACAAGGTGATTTTTAATTTCTTCATCCTCATGTTGCTGCATATTGATTTCAGCCATACACATCCTTTTGATCCAGCTGGCATTAAACGAGCAAAAATTCCATTGCTCTGATGCACAATGCATAATCGCAATTGCAGACCTTGCTTCTAATATGCTATAACATATTAATGAGGGAGGCACAGGAGGACATAATATTTGGGTTGGAGAAGTAATACGATCACATAGGTTGCTGGATCCATTGTCCAAGTGTACTTTGTTTGCATCCATCTGCCCGGGAGCCATTTCCCCATTTTGGAAAATAAATGGGAGTGTCATCCATAATATAGGCATCTTTTCAAGGTCAGGTCATTGCTGGAGTCACTGTAAAACTGGGGATAGATGCATGGTTTTATGTTTGAGCCTCTTGACAGGATAAGGAAGGAAATACAGCTGGCAAAAGGCAGAAGCTTCCCTGGAGTATTGAGCACCTGCAGTGGGGGAGGCTAGCCCCAGTGGGTGTGCTGGGTTAATCGCCTTCTGTTGCCTCTGCCTCTGGTGCAGACAGTGCTGGAATATATCCCGCCTGGTGTGCTTGGAGAACAGCTGTAGTTCCCATGGGTTTTACTGCTGCTCTTCATTTTTTTTTTAACAAATACATTGCCTGTCTCGTTCAGTAGAACTTGCACATCGAGTCTCTCCACTTTTCACACTGTTGTGGGTTCTTTCAGCTCCTCGCTCACACTGACTCTTGAGTATAATCGCTCTCCTTTTGTCCCCAGGCATGGGGCTCTGAATTTTCCCCTGAGTCTGCTCACAGGACCATTTATTTCTGTGATCAACCCAGAAGGCCCTGGGAGACATAAACACTTCAGTATTGGAAGGACCTGCACACAAACAAGCGGCTCTGACCTCAATTAAAGCCTAAATATCTCAAGCAGTATGGCATTTGTGGATGACTGAGTGGGTGGGAGTAGACTGTAGAAAGACCAATCCTCTTAATGGTAAACAGAATGCAAAGAAAACAACAGCAGCAGGCACCGGAGCTCATGCACAATGTCAGTCTTTTAGATTAGTGTACATAAACATCTCAGGGAATACTGATGTTGAAGAGGTGTTTAGAGTAGCCCTGGTTGAGCTCTAAATATATATTTTACTTCATAGATGCCAGCAATGCAAATTTCTGTGTGCTTACACATAAGAGAAACTATTCATTGTAAATCACCCAGGATAAGGGCATCTTTAATGAATCGGTCTCTGTCCAAAATGAATTTTAGAAGGTCATTTTTTTGCACTTAAGATATAAACAAGTATATCAGGAGGAGAGTGTTAAAGTGTCATTTAATATTAATAATACTTAACTGTATGTTAATACTAAACAAAATCTGTAAATAGTGCAGCCAGAGTTATCCAGAATGGATTTGTGGTTAAGGGTCTCATGGGATATAGGCCAGTTATTTAATTATTCACGGAATTAATTATCAATAACAAAATGATCTTTACCCTAAGGCCCAGTTTTTGCTATTGACACTTGACTGTATGAATTTACTGTATAGAGTTCAGCTTGATGCATTTTCGAGCTGCACACAGTTCAGTACCTTGTGTTGGGAATTCCAAGTAGAGGGCAGCAGTGCCTCTTAGTGGACATTGAAGAAACTACATCAAGTAACATTTGATTTTAAAAGGTGCTAAAAGGTTGTACAATTTAATGCTTTAACTGGGTCTTTGAGGAAAGTTTGCACAATTAAATATAAAATGTATTTTTGTTGCACATTCTTTATAGTATATTTGTTTTTTAGTATAAGGCAGGATTTCGTTATACGAGGTATCATGCTAATAAACAAAGCTGTTAAAGAACTCTGAATTGAAAGTACAATTATGTGTTTGTTTATAAAACCATCAGTGTAGAGGCCCTGCTATATGGCCTCTCTGCTTCATCTTGGAATGGGAGCAATTTGTGATGAGGGGCAGTGAAGCTCACCCCCATGGCCTCCTCCTGTGGTGGTAGAAGACAGCTGTGGTTTTAGTTTGGGGAGGCATGGGAGAGGCCAGCTGGGGTCAGTACTGTACCAGAGCTTGCTCTGTGAGCTCCACCATGAAAGGGTTCTTCAAAGTGTCTCTGGGGATGTAATGACTGGTTTGCTGGTGCAGGCACCTAGTCCATTTCTGTCTGTCTGTGGGTGAGACAGCTTGCAGCTGCACCTTGTGTAGCAGAACTAAGCAAAGGAAGCAGCGACGGAAAAACCTGAGAGTGATGGAAATAAAAATCAGATCTTGACGGCTTATTTTTAACAAGATTACAAGTGACAGGAGGCATACTGTACATGTAGGAAACATACATGTGGTATATTTAAACTTTTTTAAACTTTATATTGGGTTTCATTTTCTTGCACCTCACACTTGATTTAATGTTTTTTCTTCTATTTTTTTTTCCCCCATTTTGAAATCCTAAATACCTTCATTTAGCCTGACACTGGCTCTTGCGTTTGGAATTAGCGTGACATTACCACCCTACTTCCCCAGTTTCTGGGGTTCTACCCAAACTCGAAAAGGATAACAGGCTGTCTTTATCTGTGGTTTGCCAAGGTGTTGGTGTGCCACCTGCACACCTGGCTGCTTTCAAAAATAGGAGGAATTAGGGTTGATAACGAGAGGGAATGTCTAGGCCCTCAGGTGTCGGGTTGTTGCCTGGCAACATGTAACAGATTCCCTGGGGCTGCTGTTTGCATTCCTCCTAGAACCTGGAGAACATCACAGGGACTCCACAGAGATCTGCAGCCCGTAAACACAATGGCACACAACGACCGAACATCTATAGCTTCACTGTTTAAGAATTTGAAAATGGGTGGTAACAGCAATGAGGTCTTCTCAAGCTGTTTGGTACAGCAGATGTTTTCTTTCTGCATATGTGTGTGTATAGCAGGTACACCTACTCATTAAATGAATTCACAAAGCCTTGCTTTTCTGTGTCTCCGCATTCCAAATACATTTTTACAAAAGCAAGCATGACTTTTAATTTAAAATATTTTTTTATACAGTATGATGCACTTTGTGGAAACTTCCCAGGCTGTAGTAAATTTTGGTCTATATACTTTTGTTAACGACTGTTAGCATGCATTAGCTGTGTTTGTTTTTTTCCATAACGGTCTGTTTTTGGATTCCAGAGTAGTCTGGAAAAAAGTATTTTCATTTCCACCACCCAGCAGCCAGTTCCCACTTCCAGTGCATGTTGACCTTGGCTGGGGTTGAATCTGTTGCTTCACAGGGTGCTGTTAGGCTCTGTGACTCTGTGGAACTCGTAAGGGACTGCCAGCACACAGACTCCCCTCTGTCCCCCTCTCGGCAAGCCCCCTGTCATCACCTCTGTTAGTTTGGGAAAGCACCTGCAGCAGGCAGGAGGTGGACAGGAATGGATACAGTCACAGTATTGTGAGTCTCTGGACTTCAATCACTCCGCTAATTAGCCAGTGAGCCCAGCCAGGGATTTAATTTGTACTGCCTTCATGCTGCCCTCATGCCTACCGATAGACTGCCCAGGCCCTCCAGATCTACAATTGTGAGTGGCCAGGAAGCCCGAGACTGCAAACCACTACTGAGGTGCTTTTTTAAGGGGTAATTATCCCATGTGATGTCTAAAGGTGAGATTTAAAGTAGAATTCCAAACCCTCGCAAATATCTCAACTTGGGAGAGAGGCAAATTCAGGACGGTAGGAGGGATATATCTTCCCACTGATGTTTAGGCATGTGGAACACATTTTCAGGATCTTGTGCTTTTTTTCAGAGCAGCTGATCCTCTGCTTCTTACTCCCACAACTTTTTCCTGTTCCCACCCATTTTGTAAGACCTCTTCTGACCTTTTGTGGACTTAAAAGCGGCTACAGAATTAGAAAGAAATATAGAGAAAATGAATTGCTGTTTGTGATAGGCTTTTTCAAATTGCATTACATCTATAACCCATCTTGTTTGTGGTGTGACATTTTTTTGCCATTGTGTAGTAATATATTTAATAATATGACCCCCTAAAAAGAAAATAAAAAAATCTTGTGATAAGTGACTTGGATTTGAGCAATAAGCTTGACTCTGAACCTCTGTGAACATGAAGTTGTCTTTTTCCCCCAGATGTGAACGAGTGTTCCAGCCAGCCCTGCAAGAATGGAGGTACTTGCCAAGACCTGGATGGTGATTATTCGTGCAAGTGCCCCTCGCCTTACGTTGGGAAGTACTGTCAGCTACGTGAGTAAAAACCACTTTGAAGGTCCTGGAGAGGATCCTTTTGCTCTAATTTGCTGACCTCCTGATGTTGCTTTAGGCTGAAAACATTATTTGTGGGGCATGTCAAAGTAATTTCAAGTAATGTCTCTCCATATTGATCCGATTGCTTTACATATTATAAAGAACTATTTTCTAATGCAAATGCTTTGTTCTTTGTGTGGTTCAATATGGCTTTTCCCAGTCTGACTGCTGTCTGCATTATCTCTGCATGGTCTACAGGCTGCATCTCCATGCTTGGGATGGAAGGGGGGGGTATCGCAGAGTCTCAGATCATGGCCTCCTCTGTGCATTACGGGTTCCTGGGACTGCAGCGCTGGGGCCCGGAGCTATCCCGTCTCAATAACAAGGGTCTGGTCAATGCTTGGACCTCTGCTACCCATGACAAGAACCCCTGGATTCAGGTGAGAGAATTGAGCCTGGGAGGGTGCTAGTTTGGTTGATTTTATTTTTTAAAAAAAAGTGAAGTGGTTGGTAAACTAGTGCGTTTTGCAAATGCTTGAAGTCTGTTAATAGGAGGCATGGGTAGGAAAACACTACATTTTCTCTGTGCCAAGAATGGAGAAATAAGGAATTAAGAATCTCTGAAGTCTGGTAAAATTTGGGTATAGAAAATAACCTGAACTGCAGCCTGCAGCAGCAGGTAAGATGTGCCTTCATTGGTTTACTGGTCCGACCAATTATCTTCTTTCTTTGTGAACTTGTGTTGTTGTTTGCCATCGCTATGTCCAGGTCAACCTAGAGAGGAAGATGCGTCTCACTGCGATTATCACACAGGGTGCCAGTCGCATGGGCACTGCAGAATACATCAAGTCCTTCAAGGTGGCATATAGCTACGATGGCAAGGCCTTCACAGTATACAAAGGAGAGGGGCAAAGGAAAGACAAGGTGAGAAAATTCATTAAGTTCAGGACCACCTTGGATTCATCCAGCGGAAGGTGAACACAAGTGGAATTGTGTTGGTAGTGCTGTCCTCAGTGTTTGCTTCTGGAACAGTAAAAGACAGGATTTATTAACTGGATAAACAAAATGTGTAGAAGTTATGTGATTTATTGCGTTCATTTGTTAAACACTCGAAGAAAGGTTTTGTCAGGAGTAAGCAGCTTTCTGATGATGGATGGTTTTTGAAAGTGTTCGAGATGCATTGCTCCAGGATACAATTTGCCCTTCATCCAATCTGCCTCCGTTTCAGAAATGTACAGAACAGTGGGAGGGTGGTTAGGAGACTAATCCTATCAATCTTTTGGCTCTGCCAGGTGTTTATTGGAAACACGGATAACGATACCACCAAGACCAACCTGTTTGACCCGCCGATCGTGGCGCAGTACATCCGCGTCATCCCCGTGGTGTGCCGCCAGGCCTGCACCTTGCGCATGGAGTTCGTGGGCTGTGAGATAAACGGTAAAAACCAGTCGCGGGCAGTTAGGGTTTCCTCACACGGCCAGCCCTCCCAGCAAACGGCACCTTAAATGGAGCTTTCAGAAAATGTCAATAAACAGATATTGGAAGAAAATGTCAGTCAGAGCAGGGGCCTCCAGTTCATTTTCTGGAGGGCTGTTGTACCTTAAGGTTTTCTTCCCAAATCATGACGGAATTATATGTATGGATTATATAGCACATTCTCCCACTCACGAAGGGATTTATAGTCAGTGATAAATTGTCTGGATAGTAAAATAGGCTGATACATTTTTAAAAGCACCATTTGAGGAAATTGGAACTTCCGTTATGGCCTTCCAACAAATCCCAGGCAACTGGACAGGCAGTGTGAAAATGAATGCCAGCTGTAAGACGGTATCGCAGTGAGTGATTTTCTTTCTCTTTATTGAGTCCTCTGTGGAAGATGAGCTGAGGTCTGTCAGATTGAACAGAGCACCCTTTGAAAAGATGAGAATTGCCCAGTTCACCAAGAATACGTCCATATCTGCAGCATTAATACCACATAGAAAACCTGTATGACTCTCATTGTAAAGCAGCGTGATCCATTTTACGTTTGCCAAGTTGTAAGGTCTTAAATAAACCAGAACTAGGTGTTGCATGTTTCACTAAATTTGCAGACGGACGTGGGGCTTGGGTAATGTTATCTCTATTACATTCGTATTTCATTAGTAGAAACAGCACAAGAACCCATGACTTGTAAATCCTTAAATAGCTCAGGAAAACTCGTCTAGAGAGACATTTTTCTGATTAGTTGACATGAAAACTACAGAGTTCTGTGCTATATGGTATATACCATAGTGGTAGTGCTCTTGAAAAGCTTGTCAAATCATGCTATTGTTTGATTCATTGCTAAAACGTTTGCCCTTTCACAGATGATCCTTTGTGAATGACCACTCTACATTTAAATGTTTGTTTGTTCACTAATCAAATGAATGAGTCCATGCAAACAATAACTAATCATATGCAGCATAGTGTCATGGTCAGCCTTCTGTTTTGTAAACTAATATCTTTAATTTTCCATTTGAGTTCACACATCTAGACATAATTTATCAAAATATGGCCCATCTTGACTAAACCTGGCTACACTGTTTTAATCTACAGATAGTTGAAATGATTTGCTCATCATTAACATAGAGTGTGAATGTTCGCTTTTTATTGATTTGATAAAAGCCTAGGAATAACTGGATCCAAAGTGTTGTGTAGTAAGTTCAGGCGTAATCAAATGGCCAACTTGTTTAGACGGGTGGGGGGGTGCTAGTACCTTTGGTTTAAATAGGTGGCAGATAACAGATAAGGCTGCAACAGAATATTGTATCGGGCAAAGGGGGCCACAGTATTGCACATTTTGATACAGACAGTTCCTCTTAATTGTAGGAAGACTCCAGACACTGTGCTCCAGGCACATGGCTGATTTCTGCCAAGGCATGCTTCACTGTGCACCACGCTGCCTGTCTCATGTCGCTCCACCCACTGGACTGATGGCCACACCGCATGCCCACAGTGCTAGTTTCCTCAGTGTTGTTTTTGCTTGTGTTAGCTTGTGCTTGTGCTTGTGCTCCCTATGTGTCTATCACTCTCTCTTACTGTCTTGTTCACAGTGTATTTAAACACGGCAGGTTGCTCTGAGCCCCTGGGCATGAAGTCCCGTCTGATCTCAGACAGGCAGATCTCGGCCTCCAGTGCTTTCCGCACGTGGGGAATTGATGCCTTCACTTGGCTCCCCCACTATGCCCGCCTTGACAAACAAGGCAAAACCAATGCCTGGACTGCACTCAACAACAATCGATCCGAGTGGCTGCAGGTAACTCTCTCTCTCTCAACAGGGTGAAGCAGCTTTCCTTTCTACTTCATTAATGAGTTATCTTAAATCTTAAATTGTTATAATTAATGAATCAGTAATGTTTGTATTTTAGAAATTTATAAAAGTATGTGTATGGGAAAAGTTTGTCCAAGCCACAGCTTCCTCTCTCTCACTTTCATTTTCCGTCTCTTCTTCCTCCATGTTATAGGTGGACTTGGAAACGCCTAAACGAATCACAGGGATAATTACCCAGGGAGCCAAGGATTTTGGGAATGTCCAGTTTGTGTCATCCTTTAAAGTGGCCTATAGTGATGATGGACAATCCTGGACCATTTACAAGGATGAAAAGACGAGGAAGGATAAGGTTAGTGCAAAATCAACTAAGTGGGAACTTCCTAATCCCATTAAGATGTCACTAAGGACATTGTTGAATGATATATATGCAAAACGTCCATGTTTTGCCATTCAGATTATTTAAATTTAACCACACCATGTGATTTTTACACTCGTGTTCCTGCTACTATACAGTCTGCTTGTTGGAAACATAATGTAACCTCAATGTTTTAAATCGCGAAGACGTTATGGCTCATTGAAGAAACCATGGGAAGGCTCCTGGTTTATTAAAACACCCATACTTATATGTCAGTCTCTGACCTCCTTGAAACCTAATCTTAAAAGCTAAACAAGCCTCTGCCTGGACCTTACTGGAATTGGAGACCTCACTGCTGCTGTAAGAGGTCTGGAGGTAGCAGTAAGTGGTGCTCTTGCCTCTGGTTCAAAGACCCAGTATGATGATAGCTGATAGGTGTTTTCTTTCAAACAAGCTATTAAAGTCAGGGCCTGACTACTTGGATATTAAAGATCCCATAGCATTCTTGGGAATGTGTATTAACTCGGATGTCCTAGCTACAGCTCCCTGAAGTCCATCCAGATGGGTGCTGCATTTATTAATGAAGTGGGTCCCTTGTGTATGGGATGCACTTTTAGATACTTTGGGATGATATTTTTTTATAAAAAATGTATGTTATTATATTTATAGTTATTATATTTTATTAGTTATTATATTTTTTTCAGTTCATATGCAGTTCTTGAACATTTATAATGTTAAATCTGTTGCAGTGCTGTAGCCCAGAGATTGGTAGTAGATGATCTCCTGTGTTTCTGACAACATTCTGGGTTCCTGAAGTCAGCTCAGCTTTCCCATGAGATTCTTCTATCTGTCCACCTGTCAAGCCTGAGTCATCTCGTATTTGCTGATCTGCACTGTTTAGTTTTCTGCCTGCCTGCTCAGTAAAGCTGATGAAAGGAGTCACTTCATAGGGCAAGAGATCCTCTTATCTCCTGGACAGAAACCAGCTTGAGTTGTGGTTCAAGAGTTCCCAAGGAAGGGAGGATGAGACACTGTTTATTCAGGTTTGATATAGACCTCCTCCCCCCTAGTGCCCAGATTCACAGATTAGCTACAAGAGAGAAGCAGCAGGCTCCAGTTACTGGGGTTTTGACGTTGACCTTTAACCTTAGTCTGTCCTGCACTCATTATCATCCCAGACTGTCCTGTGGCTCATCAGCTTCCAGGTGTGATGAAAGAGACAGAGTTCAGATATGTTTGTCTGCTCAGCAGTCAGATGAGCCTCTGGTCAAACCACACACAGGAAATGGTAGTCTGATTCAGACGTGCTCCGTGCATTTGGGCATTGTTAATACGTGCAGAATTGGAAGGTCAACTTGTGAGGTAAAGTAATATAATTGTAGTGGATCAGTGCTAAATTCCATAGAGCTGTAAAGTAGGTAATGGAACAAGCCAGCTTGCCAGTGTTGTAGGTTTTTGTTTTAGATTTTCATTTGTAGTTTCATTGCTTCATCTCCACTCTGTTATAGTTACACCTTCTTCATTCTCTCCCCCATCCTTCTTCACTGCTTATGGTCTTTCCCAGGTGTTCCAGGGCAACATCGACAACAATATCCACATGAAGAATATATTTGAGCCAAGTATCTTTGCCAGGTTCTTCCGTGTCCTCCCCTGGACATGGCACGAGCGCATCACCTTGCGCATGGAGCTCCTGGGCTGTGAAGATTAGAGCCACTCTCGCTGCCACACCCTTCCAAGCACCACACCCACCAGACCTGTCTCCTCAGCTGCCTGCACTGCACTTCCTCCACAACTAGAGGGCAGAATTGCACCTTGCTCGCTACCTGGTTTTAGGCTATGTGAGCTAAAAAAATGTTAATCGCTTGACCTTAAACCCTTGTCCTCTGTACAACCCAAAAAACACATTTCTATATCTGTAACATATAATCTTATGCTGGACATGCAATGAATTTAGTTATCATTTAGCTTTCATTATGTATATATGGATTTTTATGGATATCCATAAGTGGGGGATCGTCATCCACTGCATTGCAATTACAGATTTTCAGAATTGCATTTTGAGAAAATGAGCTTTCACAGACTGATAGATTGTGATGATTTAAGTTTTTTTTTACTTTACTCAATTCTTCAGTGTGCGTGACTGGGGACATTGTGAAAAGTGAAGTATAACAAATTCAGAGGATAAGGGGTATATGGTTTTCATGCGCTGGCATATGATAAACAAATTAAACAGTAACAAAGTATTGACGCTACAATGCAAGATGATTGTACTCAGGGTAGCCAGTTCCACGGACATGCAGAGACAAGGTCTGTACAATCCCCCCAAAATATGGTTATTCTGGTAACTGATACTTTTGTTATTAGTGATATGTAATGGCTGTTTTTTAACTATATGTTGATAAGGTGTAACATGGAATTAGTTCAGAAATTGACTGCATGAAACTTATGAATCTGGGGGAATGATGTATTGTACTGAGACTGGCAGAGCTGTGTAGTTATTCTTTCTTTGATAAATTACTTTTTTTAACCGTACCTGTGAAAATAATGTACATTTTTGCTGTTTGATGTGTTCTGAGAGAAGCTTTTCAAAACATAACATGGCTGGACACCAGAGTGCTGGCCACAACTGGGCCTGTTTTCAGTGTGTTACAAATATAACTCCAGGCCTGCGCCCAGAAGAATATATATCTTTTAGCAGCTTGTGGTCTCAAGACAACTAGGCGGAAGCTCACAGGGACAGTTTTGAAGTTTCAGATATGTCAAAGTACATTTCTTTTTAACTGAAATGAGGTTGGCTTTTGATAGAAAAATAAGGATGGTGCATTTTTCTTTTGTTTCCTCATCCCCATGTGATCAAAAAACATTTGCTTTACTTAGCTAGGTGTTCAGGTGCAAACAAAAAATGTAAAGAAAAAATGTGCTGTGCTGTCTGTGTGCATATTGGAGTGTTAGTGACGTATTTCATTTTGCAGCAATGGAATTGTATTACAGGGGCTCATTGAAAATAATATAATGTTGCAAAGAAAGTAGTACATAATTTCACTCACTTATTCCCACACGAATTATGAAGGGTCCATAGCTGTAACATTGTTTTCCTTTCTTTCTGCTGCCCAGCGTGCACACAATTCTCTCCTCTAACCTTATATTGCTGAGTTTTTTGGCTTTTTGGGGGCAGGTTGGTTAAGGATATCTTAGTGAGTAATTTACTTTTAAAACCCACCTGGCTGACTGTGCCACATAACTTTGTGTTTATTCTCTCCTGCATTCTTGGTTTTTAGTGTCACTTTTAATTTGCATGTGAGCTACCAGTTGTAACAAGTTCAAAGCTTTGAAATCCTAGCACGTTATCAGACACTACCAGCACATCACTTGACCCCCCTGTGCCTCTGCTTTGTCTCGACTGTGAACATATGTCATATTAACCCTAACTTTTAACCCATTAGGACCCCTGCTTATTTATGTCCAGAACCTCAAATGGCAGAAGCTGCATTCAGTCTAGTTGTAGCCCTTCTAGCACAGTTACAGTAACCCTCTACCATGATCTGTGCTGGTCTGAGAACCTTTGCCACTTCAGGGAATTTTCTTCAGCACAATTGCTGACAAGCAGAATGGACATGTCTGGTTTTTCCAGACTTTTTTTCAGCTGAAACCTAACCTCCAAATATAATAGTATAAAATTGCACTGAAACCCCTGATTGTTTTTAACCTTCGCTCAAAAATTTCCCATGGTGAACTATAGAATAAGGGCTTGTGCAATAAACTGTGAGTTAAAAACGGAGAAGCGCTGAAAAATTTAAAAGTGCAGAATAAAAAAGCAGAAGAGATTCTATACCAAATAGCAGCTGACAGAAGGTTAGGCACAAATATTTTGGAATTGATGTAAAATATTTATAATGGTGTACAGATTGAATTTCCTTTAGGGTTTAATTGCATTATTTTACCAAGGGGGTATGTACTGTATACTACAATCTCTGTAACACTTGTTTGCAAACTGTACTAACCTTGAAGTGCTCATTTCATACAGAGGCTTTTTTTATTCATCTGACCCTTAGCTCTTACAGACTTAATCTTTCATTTTCCAGCTTTTTTTGTATGTTTAATAACAAAAAATATTTTTATGTCAATGGATTGGATTTCAGTGTAACATTACATATGTTTCTGCTAGTTTAAGCTTTGCTTTTTGGTTTTTGAAAATAGATCCAGTACCATACTGTATCTTTGACATTTAAATCTTTAAAATAAAGAGATCACGTAACCATGTTTTGAGGTTGTATTGCTGAGTTTAAGATCCATTGTAGAAATGAATATGCTTTTTTAGAAACTATAAAACTGAGGATCTTATAAATATCAAGTTTAAATTAATATAGAGTAGACATTGTATTCACAAAATGATAGTACTCTGTGAAAAAGAACATTAAGGGCAATATAGAAAATGCCTGTGTAAAACAGGAGCTTTCAGCTAAAGTAACTGATTTTATTTTAGGGGGGAAACAAGTTATTTCTGTTCTTAAATCCCCAAAAGAATTAGAAGCAAAAATAGTTGGAAAGGACCCTTGATTCAAACAGCACTTCTGCAGGCAATTATACTAATTTACTTCTGTTTTTGAGACTGAACTCCTATGCTCTGCAGAGCTAGCAGGGAGCCACCATGCACATCAGTTCTAAAGTTTTAGAAACTCTTTTGTAGCCTTTGAGTTTCCTTGGTTGTGATAAAAGGACAATTTCATGTTACTTTTCCATGCTAATTATTATTATTTTTAGAGTGATGTTTTTTTTTTTAATGAGGCCATATCAGAAATTTTCTGTATTAGCAGGAGCTTAATTTTCACAGCTGCATCCTAGACATCTTAGATAAACATACATGGGGAGCATAGAAACTGAGAGTTTTTACAAGTGCTAAGTTTACAAGAATGCTTCATCTGATGGGAACAATACCTTCTCTTGCCTCAAGCTCAGTCACACTGGCTAATTGACCAGGTTCGCAGGATAACATTTAGCAGTTAGAAGACTGCCTTCAAGCAGTGTTTTTATAAGGCTACCAAAGAATGAGGGGAAATGGCTTTTTGTGATTTAACGTTTTTACCTGACATTGTGCCTTACTTATTATTCAGTTGTGAGTTAGATTAATAACACCTGGTACTATTTAAGGGAGTATTCTGCTATGAGGCTTACCTACCACTTTTAAAAGTAGTCTTTTATAGGTTATTTGTGTCTTTGTACTTCGCAAACACTGGACCTGTCAGATCAAATGAAGTACCAATTAGTACCATCAGTAAAATCAACACATGGTTGCTGCAGGATAGTGAGCAAAACTTGTCTGTTGCTGCTAAATGCTTTCACTGTTTGTTTATGAGGTTACCTCAAAAAAGATAATGAAATTAATTTGTGATTTCCCTTTTTTTCATCTATCATTGTGCTCAATAAGTGGCATTACAGGTATCGGCTTTTTGTGCTTGTTTATATAAATGCATTCTTAATATATGCACATAATGTCTTGGATATCTTTGAAAAAATCAATAAAATTTGTGTATTATAACAGTTTTGCTACTTATACACCTTTCATTCAGCAATTTAATTCACGTTGATCAGAATCTCTGAAAGGTGTACATAAGCAGCCAGTGTGAATTGCTGTAGTATGCACTATATTTCATCACACTTCTCAAACTGAACATGTGAAGTGGAACCCATCCTTGATATTTATCCTCTTCATGCTTCTATAAGCTAAAACATTACTTTATCTGCTACATGATACATATCGGTCAGAATAAACTCTCTTCTACATTCAGTAAAAGATCGCCATACTGTAGAATTGTTTCTGCATTCAGTGGGAAAAGCATTGGGTGAGAAGAGTACCATGATGCAAGGCGTCTTAACAGCTTTGTGCTTAAGGTATCCATCCATAATCAAAAGACTCCTATTCCTGGTAAGGACTGCAACAGCCCGGAGCCCACCATGCATCACTTTGTAGGGGACACCAGTCTATCACAGAGCAGACACTCATGAAATGGAGTCTATAACGAAAGTTCGGGAGGGATGACAACAGCTAAGTTCAGTCAGCCTCGGCTGTCAGTAATTCGCAATCACTCCTGATATCATTTCCTCTCACTAAAAATACTGTATTTGATCGCCTTCTCTCTCTCGCCTATATCTTTTTGCATCCCACCTCCACCTCCTCTCCACCTTTACAGCTGCCCCTTGGTCACTCCTCCCTTTGCATGGGGGTCCCAGCCTCCTCATCCTGTGGCCAGGGGGTCAGCCCTCAGCCAAGTGGGTAGGCCACATTTTAGCAGAACACTCTATAATCCTTTTAGTACACTTAATTCTAGGGTGGCGTTATTTTTAGTGAATTATTTTATTAATTATTTAATAAAAAACAACTTAATTTTGCTCGTTAAACCAGCCGCCATATATTTATGAGGTTGGATGAAAATGGACCACCCACATTGACATAGGGAGAATATACTGCCCCCAAAAAGAAAAAACCTGAGGACCCACGTACTGTGCTAACTGCCACACCACTATACTGCCTATACAGTATATACAGAATTCTGCACAATACTATCTTGGCTTGTGCACCTACTGTATTTCATGACCTAAATCTCTAAATTACTGGTCTGTTCTTTAAATGCTTTGAAAGATATTGAGCACATTGGCCAATATGATGAAATCACTCGATGACTGATAATCTGGGTAGCAAGGCAGGATGCTGATAGACCGAAATCCGCATACTCTTGATTCCTTGATTAGCAGAACAAACAGCCTGGAGGAAGCTCTTGTTCAGGGGCCGTTCTGTGCTGAAGGGGGCAGTGCACAGCACAGGTCAGCGAGCAGCAGGCTGTCAGTCAGCACCGGGCAACACTGATGTCTTGTCTGTCAGCGTGTCTGGCACAGATGGGAACGAGCAGGAAAGCACGGAGAGAGAGGAGTGAGGGCTCGAAGAATAGGAGGAAAACACAGGCAGGCACAGGGAGGCTCAGGAAGGAAGGATTCTCTCCTGAAAAACAAGGCTATTTCTGAACAGGTATGTGCCACTTAAGCATTCCTTTTTTTACCAAAGAACGGAAATCGGAAATATTTCCAAGCACATTCAGAATTACCGCCAAACCTATGAGCTCTCTGACTCCTTCTTTCCACACTAAAAGTTAAAAAACATAGGTGTCACTGTCTGATAAACATTCTGAACTGTACAAATAGCAAATTTACATAACCGATTAACAATCGGTGGATCATTCCTTCTGACTCCTCATTTTTAAATCACACTAAATGAGTAGTCTTTACGCTCAAACAATAATAGAAGAGGGGCTAAAATATACATGCCTCTGAAAGAGGAAATGGTTTCCAAGATTAGGGTTTGTGGAAGAAAAAAGGATATCCTGCCATAATGTTATCTAATCTTAGACGTTAACTTGCTGTAAGGTCTCCCCTGTTCCCCTAAACAATGTCTGTAATGATATGAATAATGATACTGCAAAATGGGATTGTCAGTGGACAACAGTTCTCAATAACTTATCAATACCATCATCTTTGACAGAAAGGTTTTTCTCTCAGCCTGTTGATCCTAATAGGCTTTATGTTTATATTTGCGAGGTATATCACATGTATAAAAAATGTACAGTATCAATTCAGAACATCACTGACCACATGAAGATATCCTTAAAATGTGGCGAGCTGTTGGTCCAATTTACTAGTACTTCAACAGTGCCTCAGGGATGACACTACCACTACACAACAGGATCAGTGGATCATACCTGATTTTCTGACAGTATAGATGATTAGGTCAGTTACTGACAAAGGTGCAAAAGATGGTGCCTATCTTTCTTGGTAATGTACGATACACACACAAAACATAAGCACTCTGGTCCTAGTCTTTTCCACTTTCAGATCTCCAAACCTTACCTCCTTCCCAACACTGCTACGAAACAGACTCATAAAACAGAGAGCTACAATTGTTTCTCATGCAATAAAATCATATCACTGTAGCTTAGTGCCCTCTTTCAGACTCATGACACTCCACCATGCTCTTGCTTCATAGAAGAACAAATGCCAGTAGTTGAGTACCTTACAATTATGAAAGCTAATCATACAGTACATTTGTTCATTTGTGTGTCAAAACTTCATTCTACCATTCACATCATCACTGCTGTCTACCACCTAAACACAAATTCAAGGCAAAACACTCTTCTGCCTTTACTTTATTGTACAAATTATACCCTCCTCCACTTCTCTGCTATTCACAAAGCCCTGGTATGTCTAGCCCTGGGCAAACACTTTTATCTTTGCTTTCTGACAGTGTACTTCAAACACATCTGCAACAGCCATGTGTGTCTCCGTAAGGAGCTGACACACAGCATCCAGAAACAACATCCATCGCTGGAGGTATCCACTGGCCTTTGTCTCCTCAGTGACAAACTCTACAACCATCCCGGAACAGAGGATGGGTCGAGAGATCAGAGGCAATATCCTGCTTTCTCGAAAGGCCACATATCAGCTTTTTCCTCCTTCTCTAGGTGACAAATGAACTCATTTATTATCATTATTAATTCAATAAAAGAATAATAATGATGGTAACGAAACACCTGCAGGGAGGAAATGGCTTCTGAATTACCAAAGGAATGGGGGTCAGAGCGAAAGCGTGACTTGCTGTCCTGTGCATGGTCTGGCCAAGGGTGGTGACTCCGAAAGCACTTCAGTAGGGTAGTGTTACTTAGTCCTGTGGGGAACATATGATTTAAATAGCATAACAGCTCATCTGCAGAGCTAGCAACATTTTTTCAGGTTTTATTTATGGTGAAAAATTAACAGCTTTCCAAGTCCCCAGAGAGCAATGGAATTGTCTTTTTTTTTTGTTTGTTTTTTTCTCACTAATATCCCTCACCAGGAATATAAAAGTCTACTAAAAGGCAATACCACTACACAGTGTCTTTCAATGGAATGAAAATACAAGTATTTTTAAGCTAAGCGAGAAGGAAAGATGTGAATCCTGGAGCTAAAGTTGGACATTGCCATACAGTACATGACTGAGATACAGAATAGGTGACTTTCATAGCTGTACATTTTAATTAGCCCAGTGCAGGCCAGGGAGTTCTGAGGGAGTTTTTCATTGCCACTGTCGCCTTAGGCTTGCTCACTTGGGGGTTCAGACCCCGAAATCTGTAAAGCTGGTTTGTGACCATGTCCATTGTAAAAAGTGCTGTACAAATAAAACTGAACTGAAATTCTGAAAACTGAACAGTGAAATTGAATTGAATCAGTTTTGCAATGAAGATACAACCAAACACTAAGTGACCCTTTCTGCTCTTTTATTTTGACAAGTTCCTAATTCTTCCTTTTTAGCACATTCTTCTGAAGCACACAGGGCCTGCCCATTGAATATCCCACTGATACAAATCACTGGTTAATTCAGCAAAAGAAACAGGTTTTCTTTTTTAAAGATGGTTTTAGTTGCCGTGTGTCCAACCACCTAAGAAGCACAGCTGGAGTGCTTTTAAAATGGTGACGATTGTATTCTACTGGAAAGGGGACTACTGGCCATTGTTTTTGCACATGACAACTTGGTTGAGTATAACAGCGTTTAAAACTGCAGGCAACGTTCACACTCAAAAGTCAAAGCATAAAGTAAATTACGCAAACGCTTTTCTTTTTACTTCTCCTTATACATTTAGCCTATAATTTATTTCATACATAAAAATGAGCTAAGCAGTTCCGAGAAATTCCTTCTCTTGCTTCATTCTCTTGCATGTTTAAAATAGAACAGTGCCTCTTTGAAATACTTTAAAAATGTTTTCATTACATGGCACACATAAGTACCGTAGTGCCATCGGTATAAATTGGCCAATCTCCCTTCTTTAAAAAGCCATGTTACTTTAATAGCGGGCGGGAAGATCGCAAGTTGGGGTCTGCCTCTCTTCTTAGCTCAGTGGTGACGTCAAGTCTCCTATTTTAGTCCAGAAGATCAATTAAAAGAAGGAGTACAGTAACTTTTTTCTGTTTTACTACGAAAGTGCTTGCTTACAGGCAGTGTGAAACGGGAGGACAGAGACTAATACAAGCGACAAAGAAGTACTGTCTGCAGCCGTGAGTTGAAACCTGATAACTTATATTTAAAATGTGCATTTTTATTTGTGTTATTATTTTAAAAAATGACACATGCATTTATTCCAGAATAGTTTAGCTTCAAGATTAATATAATGTTTTATGTATGTTGATATTTAAAGATATCTAAAGCAGCATACAGAAAATATTAAAACTGCACATTGTAAGTGTAATTTAAGACACGGATAAACGTTGTGTTAAGCTTGAAGATAATGTTTTTAAAAGTCGTGTTTCGAAAACAGTATAATTTTATACACTGGACTTGTAGTAATATTCCAGACTAAAACTTTTTTTAATGAGCCACCTCATTAGGTTCTCTACAAATATAACATGAACAAGCCAAAATGTGCTGTAAATACGGGTGGGTTTGATTGATGGGTATATTATTTTTCAATTCAATGTTCCAAAAGAACGCTCAGACTAATTTAAATTATTAATGATAAAATACAAATTTCTTTCTTCGTAAGAAGCAAGTAATTGCACCACCTATCGTTTGAATGTACACTCTAGCAATATTTTAACAAACCGGTAAAAGTTTTCAATTTTGAGGAGAAAATGCAAAAGACTCCTTTGGCGATCCTGTAAATCTTTTTGTCGTGCAACCTTGCAACATTTTTTCTGGTATCATTACCGAAGAGCTAGAATGGTGACTTTATGCAATTCCGGGTGGACAGTTACAATTTCTTAATTACTTTTTATTGTGCCTTCATCGTATTGTTGTCTGGTGGATTTTTATGAATCAATAGCTTGTTTTCCTTTGGCTTCATCGCCCATTGAGTGTGTGTATTTTGTCCCTGGTAATAATCTTCAAAGAACTTTTCCACAACATGGGAAAAAAACTCTTATGCTGTATATAAGAGCACCTTTTTCATTTATCAATAACATGGGATTTAAGCCGCCTTCCTAGCAAATGGCAGTGATCCTACTGTATATATTGAAGAACTTCATTCAATTGTTCCTGCAAAGGAACCGTGAAGCCGATTCCTCCTGTTGCTTTTGCAAACAGTATCATTACCTAAAGACAGCTTTAATAAGCTTTGTTGAACAGGAATGTCACAGTCAGTAAATATATTGCTGTATTTCATTTAACAGGATATACTGTAGATACCCTGCAAAGATTTAGCAAAACTGTATGTTTCAGTCAAGATGTTTCATGTTCAAGATGAACATATTAATTCATCTTTAGTTCTATACTTTTAATCATAATTACTGTACAATAACAATGGGTGGTTCAAATTTTACAACTAGCTCCAAATGTTTGAAAAATCTTGCATTTTCTATTGCCTTCAAGAAGCAAAATTGAACATGAACTTATACATTAACAGCCTTCGAAACAGACAAGTCACATTCCTCAAATTAATTCCCAGCCCTCCTCCCCCTTCCACCCACATTTCTCCCTGATCACCCCACCCCATCGTTCCCACTACCACCCTGAAAACCCCCTCATCCTCTCCCCAACTCCCGAAGCGAAAGCAAAAACAAACCTTTAATCCTGATAAGAACATGAGATGAATAATAGAGACAAACCTTACACATAAAGAGAAGAGTCCCAGCCACATGAAAGACAGCTCTCATGTAGCCTTTAGTGTCATATTGTCAAGAAAGTTACATGTTAACATCATATTGTGAAGCAAAGGCTGCCACACCCTATTGAATTTATTAACTGATCTACTAAGAGTATCCCAGAGTTTCTCAAGTTTAAGAAATTGTAACAGCTCTAAACCAATGACATGAGAGGGTGTGGATGCCAGCTTCCAGTTCATTAATGTAATGCAAAGAGCCAGATGCCTTTTAAATAAGCACCAGACTAAAACTTAAGAGAATCTAATTGAAAGTCATTAACACAAGACACTTAATTATTATGTTGTGTTCAAACAGGCACCACTAGCCCACATTAAGTGAGCAGGCTAAATGCCATCTGATTCTTTTTATGTAGTTGTCTAGCTGTTCTACAACACAGTTTATTAGGGAGCAGTGATCATGTACTGTATATAAAAACAAATCTTAAAAAAATAAGTACGGTAGCAGACTTATCTATTAAAGATAATCTAGAGGTGATTTTATTTTATGCTGCAGAGAAGCCACGTGGTGTTGCAAGAGTGATATATTTTAATTAAAAAAAAACAAATTAGTTTATTATTTAATCACCTTAAAAGCTGAGTGTATACAGAACTTTGAGTAATAGATTTTTTTAAAATCCAAACTGTAATGTAAAGGGTACCCTTTCTATCTTCTTTTCATCGGAGTGCTCAGTTGTGTTAATCTTAAACCTTAATTTTTTAAGACCTTTCTTAAAAGGACTTAAAAGTTGGGAAAGTTGGGATTACTGTAGCTGTATACTTCTCAAATAAATCTGTATTATAGTGACTGAAAATTATACTCTATTATCTACTTGGATGAGAAAAAGATATGATAATAATACCATTGGCCTGGTCCTTGGGTAACTAATGCAGAAAATGAGGATAATATTGGAATACTATTACACTACTCCCAGGACCACAGCCTTGGTTAAGAATGGGGTAAGTGCATTAATGGGGTAAGTGCAACTTCAGGGGAGTTGTGATTTTGCTTTTGAGGGGCAGGTACCATTTCAGTAGGTCTCTGGGAAGCTAAGGATCAATATTGCTCTAAAAGCATCCAAGCCAAAAAAGGTTACACAACAATTATCCACTATCCACAATCTGACATTACTTATACTGTTTGTGCCAAACTTGCTGTTTAAACACAGGCATCATGTTAATCTCAGTTGAACTGTGGTTCACTTCAGTTCATTCAGTTGCATTGGAGTCTGTTATTTAGGTAAGAAAGGGCACCCAGGCCATAAAGGACTGCAAACCATAAAGACCACCCCCCACCCTGTCCTGTGGGAACACCAGTGTGTTGGGCTTAATTACTGACCATCAAGCTGATTACACAGTGAGCTTAACCCCCCAGGTCACAATGTCATGTCAATAAAATGTAGTCCTGTCTAACCAAGGTTGTTCAACTGCAGCAAAACGAGCTATGCAAACAGCAGGAATGTACAGTAAGTGAAGCACTTCTCCTATCAATATCCTGAGGATCGAAAGATTAGTAAAGTAGACTGTAAATGAGTTTATCAAAGACCTTCAAAGTAATGGAGGAATATATTAAAATATATTAAAAAAGACATACAGTGGATGGAGAAAAATAATATGAGAAGGGTAGAGACATTCTGTATAAAACTTCCCCATACATATCCTACATAGTGGTCTTAAAATGGCAAGTTCTACATGATAATTAATGGAAATACAGTACAAGCGAACCTTTAATTCTTTGATTCTGTGTGGAAGATTAATGCATGTTACATTTTCAAAGTGATCGTCCCTCTTCCTGTCTTTCCAGACCTAAAAAAAGTCTTGTGCAATATTTAGTTGTGAACAGTAGTAATTCTTAATTCTGTACTGTATTTAGTACAGTACAGCCAAATGGATGTTTGGAAAGTCCTGCCCTCACCAGAGAGGAACGATGAACGGCACAGAGGAATTGTCTGAAAGCATTCATTTTCTGGATGCTGAAAAGCATCCCCTTGTATGTAAGGAATGGAATATTTTCATCAGCAAAATTCATTGGGTCAGGGCCCCTTCTACGTGCTGCAGACTGGCCACATTCATTGCCTGAGTGGTGTGTTACTGCCCTCTTGTGGGAGGTGAGCAGTGTTCAGAGAGCAAATGCCAGTTCCTCGAGTTGGTGGAGTCAAGCAGGATAATGAGAAAGGCCCATTAAAATGAACAAACTTTCCATTTTCTTTATGCTATATAATAATAATTATATTTATAATATAATAATAATTATGCATAATACATACTGTAATAATAACTACTTCTTCACCATAATAAGGAAATATTTTTGTGTGTTTATTGTCATTAAGATAATATTATCTCCTATAGGTACATACATTTGTCCCAGGACTGCTCTCCAGGCCCTCGTTGCTCTATAGACAGACATACAGAGGGACGCAGATGGACGTGGCCATTATCAACATGCTGCCCCTGTTGCCAATGTTTCTACAGCTGCTCTGCACCTGTTGGGCTGCCCCCTACTCCAATGGCTTCTCCTACCATGACGTCATGAATGGCAATGGGAATGGAGAAAGTAAGGAGCATTTTACTTCTGCTCACTGAGCAGGACACTGTATAAAATGTTGGTTTACATGCACAGCAATTCCCAACACTCCTGCCTGTGTCATGAGACAATATACAGGTAGGATCTGTGTGCTGGACTAGCAAACCAGTGAGTACTGGACATCTTACAGCTGTGCCCTCTTAGAAGTTATGCAACATTGGTTGCAGACAATTGTAACTGACAGGAATCTAATATATTTATTTAGATAACATGTCAGAAGATAAGAGAGGTTACAAACTAGAGGAGGCCATTCAGCTCATCTAATCTGTTTGGTAGTTAGTAGTTAATTAATCCAAGGATCTCATCAAGCCTTTTCTTGAAAGAATTCAGGGCACTGGCCTCAAGAGCCGAGCTGGGTAGCTTGTTCTATATTCCCACAACTTACAAGGCATTTACTTTATATAAATTTAGAATGTAAACTGAGAGGCATTAAAGATGCAGCAAATTGTTTTAGTTCCAACATTTAGCAACAAATGATAACTGACGACAACAGTTCTGATCCTTGTCTGTCTACTTTCCATTTTGAATGAAGTGGATATTGCATTAGGACAATGTGTCTTTTTTTAGGACAATAAATTATTAATTTATAACAAAATAATTAATCACAAATAATTAATATCTAATTTATAAATCACTTATTGTTCAGGTTGTTTTTCCTCCCAGTTTGTAATCACTGAATATTTGAGAAAGATGTGACTAGATTGGCAGATCTGTTTCCGTCAGACGTATTGCAGACATCCTGGCATCACTGCAAGCTTGCCTGCTCCCAGCAAATACAGGAGTTGCTGTTTCATTGAAAAGCAAGAGTGCCATGGCTAACTAATACCCACTGTACATCAGTGGGGCCCAGGAATCCAAGCTGGTGTTGTCTAGTGACATGACCCAGGCTTGAAGTGGTGCTGTCTGCAGTATAGAACTCAAAATGCATTCAGAGCAATTGGAGAATTTATCCATTTGAATATTAAGAATGTCACCATGGAGAACAATCATACCTCACACCCAGGTGATCTACAGCCTGAAGGTGTACTTGACTACCCAAAAATAAGGGAATGTATTTCGGTAAATGAGCATTAGGAGCATCTTAATTGTGCTATGTAAAGATTGATTGGGTTACTTGTTCATTGTGGCAAAGAGCTATAGTAAATACTATTGAACATGGTTGCCAACACTACCTTAGCAAAGCTGATCTGAACATTGTAGTTAATCTGCACTGTACTTGTCTGCCTGTCACTGTACATGGTCTTTTTGTGCCTTTTTCCCTAGTTTATTTCAATGGGGTGCGCCTTCGTGTGGAGACTCCCGATACGCCAGTCTTTGCAGTGCGCGGGAGTAACGTGACACTGCCCTGCCGCTATTTCTATGAGCCACAACTAGAGACCACCCGCAGGACACGCGTGAAGTGGTCCCACCAGCCTTCCAACGGGGGGCGCGAGATCGACGTGCTGGTGGCCATCGGACTGCGCCACCGTAGCTTCGGAGAGTTCAAGGGCCGCGTGCACCTGCAGCAGGGCAGCCCAGGGGAGGTTTCCCTGGTCATCACAGGTCTCCACTTCAACGACACTGGTCGCTTCCGTTGTGAGGTCATTGACGGGCTGGAGGACGAGAGTGCCACTGTGGAGCTGGAGCTGCGAGGTAAACGTGTCTGGCCCTGTCCACTGTAATCCTCGTCATTATCTCATGGGGGAATGGAAAGTGTTAACGTGCAGTACAGTACAGTATGTACATAATCCCTGTTTGCCTAATTAGATGGGCTTTGCCCCCTAACAAGAAAATTATAGGAATAAAAAAACTGAAAACTACAACTTCAGTGTTTTAGCAGGAGTTTCCAGTCCTGGTCCGGAAGGGCTAGTGTATAACTTCACTCAGCCCTGTGGGTTCTGGTATAGAGAACTCTAGAAAACCTCCAGGACCAGGCCTGGAGATTCCTGCTTTGAAGGCACTTTTGAACTTTTCCTTTTATGCTCCCCTTAGGTGTGGTGTTTCCATACCAACCTGTAATGGGACGCTACCAGCTGAATTTCGTGGGAGCAGAGCGTGCCTGCGAGGGGCAGGACGCCTCCTTGGCCACATTCGAGCAGCTCTTCTCGGCCTGGGAGGAAGGGCTGGACTGGTGCAATGCAGGCTGGCTGGCTGATGGGACAGTGCAGTACCCCATCACCTTGTCCCGGGAGCCCTGTGGGGGCTTGGATATGGCCCCAGGGGTCCGCAGCTACGGGGCCCGGCACCGGCACCTGCACCGCTACGATGCTTTCTGCTTCTCATCCTCACTGCACGGTAAGGGGCTGTCGGCTGCTCTTACTCTGCTGTGTCTGTAATGTTCTGCAATGCTCCCGACCAACTGCTGGGGCCAGGAGCCTACTAATTACAGACCACTACAATGTTAAAATCAGCACCACTAAACACAATAGAATTATCCAGTTTTCCCACCACATGTCCTGACTTCTATTGTAAGAAATAACAATGTCTTTCAAGAGAGTCTGTGTCAAACCCTGGAAAATACAGAATTTAAAGTCACTCCAGGCAGCATTATGTTTCTTCCTACTATGCTTTACTTTTAGTGTTTCAAGCACCATATTATCTCCATGCCAGTCCATCACATATTAAAAGGGCAGGACTCTGTAAAGCTTCACACATATTTAGCTAAAGTTGTTCTGTATTTGTTGAGTGTCAAGTATCTTTCAGCAGCTTTCCCTCTCAGTTTTGACATACTGTATAGACTGACAGTAGCAGTATTTGCAAACAGCTTGTTTTCTACCTTATTTCGATTGGAAAATCATCTTTTTTTAAGAGAAGAAAACTTATACTTATGTATAGAAATGTTTTAACGTTTGGGACACAAAGTGGGACGCTGTAGAAAACAGATGAATTGAAGTGCGCCCTAGTTGTGAGCTCTGTAGCCCAGCGAGTGCGTGACGTGCCTGCTGTGCCCACTGTCTCTGCCCCAGGCAAGGTCTACTTCCTGCAGCATCCTCGCAAGCTCAACTTCTCGGAGGCGCTGGAGGCCTGCGAAGAGGATGGGGGCCAGATCGCCAAGGTGGGGCAGCTCTACGCCGCCTGGAAGTTCATGGGACTCGACCGCTGTGATGCGGGCTGGCTGGCTGACGGGAGCCTGCGCTACCCCATAAACGTCCCCCGCCCCAACTGCGGCCCTCAGGAGCCTGGAGTTAGGAGCTTTGGCTTCCCTGCACGGCACCAGAAACACGGCGTCTACTGCTACAGCACACAATAAATCTCATCACCCAGCTTGTTGAGGTCCACCCATTATACAACCCCTGTTTCCTCTCTCTGTCTGCCTCTGTTTCTCCCCTCATGTTCCCTTCAACTCTTGTCGACATACCCCTGTCTTGTTTTCAGCCCTGTGCAATATCTCTCTCTTTCTCCCCTTGCAGCTATTCCCTGTGTTTTCCTTTATCTTGCCGCTCTTGCCTTCCTCCATACCGTCTCTTTTTTTGCCCTGCTTTCCTCTTTATGCCCTCGACAGTCTCACGCTGCTCATTCGATTTGGGCGGCCTGACATTTTTTCTTGCGTTTCTGCTCCCGCAGAGCGCACGGCGCCTGAGAGATGTTGCGCCCTTAGCTGTGCTAAGAGGAGCTGCAGAGCAGCCAGGCTGTATTGACTTTCCCTCTGTGTTTGTCAATTATCAGATGAGTGGCAAAACACAAGATGTGGCTAGTATCAAGGGTATGTTTTTTTTTTAGAAAAAAGAAAAACTTTTAAAAATACTTTGGCAATGGACTTTATTATTACTGCCATTATGACTTTCATTTTTATTATACTTGTTAATTGTGTCGTTCTTTATGCTAGAATATTTTTATAAAGTCTAGTTATTACACAGTGGATGAACTGGAACTTAAACTCAAGGACTCTGCAACACTGTGGACTTTTAGCAACAGCTATTCTTATAATCCGTCTGCCCACTTCACACTTTGTGTGCAAAAGTTGTTTTTTTTAAATGACAAGTTAAAAACGTTTTAAAATTATTATAATTGCATCTCAATAAAGACACTCTTGAGGCATGTCAAACATTTTACTAGGCAGTGCGCTGTTCCAGACCAGTCTTCTGAAAAGTCACAAAATTCTTCCCAGCTGCCTGTGATATTATAAGCTGACAATGTTTTACAGGCTTTTTGTTTTGGTTTGTTGTGAGCCCTCATTAGAGAATCTGAGCCCAGAGGATAGACAATTTGAACAAAAAAGGACAAGAACAGGTAAACTAAATAAATAGTAAATACTATTTAGTTTGAAAGCTGATCTAGAGATGATTTTATATTCAATAGAAAAAACAGAATTTTAAATAAAAATATTTAGTTTAGTTTTTTTTGTTTTAAACTGTCTTGGAGTGCTTATTGTACAATGGCTGTACAAAAGCCCCTGAAGTGATATCAGTGCCTTAAAGATTTTGAATGAGCTAAACTATGCCAAATACTTTTTTGATAGGCAGCTTTGGGAAATGTCAGAATAGGAAAGCCATAGTGTCAGCACTGCGGATACAGGTTCATGCAGTGCTTAGTAGATGAATTAGAGCTACAAACTGGTGTGCAATGTGATGGCAAACATCTTAAGAAAGTGTGTTCAGCTTTCTCAGTCAGATTTGTGTAAAGAAAACTTTTATTTTTAGTTGTCATAAGTAATTTATGTACTTAGCCATATGTTTCATCTGTAGAAATGCAATATCTCTCTGTGCATTAGAGAACATACACAAATGACCTAATACAGCCTTGGCATTCATTTTTGGAAGACTCCCATAATTGGTTGTTTTACTGATTTTAATCTGTTTCCTGTCATACTACTGCTATATACTACATACTACCATTCAGAGAATCATTTTTCATATTTAATTGATTATAGATATTGCTCCTAATTGAGAAATCCTTATTAACTTGCTTGTGTTAATCTTCTCCACAGTTTTCTGGGTTTAAGATTAATCCTGAAATTTCTGTAACTGCCATTTTATCACCTGTTCTAAGCTGTCGCTGCCTTCACAATCCCACACCGTGCTGATGCAAAGTCCACATTGTGCTGACAAATGTACTGTATGCAATGTAAAAAGTAGCATGTCTTTTTCAGGGGTGGGATAGGCTCAGCTGTGCTGTTAGTTTCTTTCTGCTGTGGAAGAAAAGGTGTTAAAGCTTCAGTACCGTTTAAGTGAAGAATTGACAAGGTGAAGTCTCAATCCCTGTACTCACTGTGGCACAGTTGCTTTCACTCATTTGTTTGGGCTTCACTGTTTGAACTATGTAGGTGCCCTCTAGTCTTGGGGTATCAGCTCTACCGTCCTCATCAGTGTAAATATGTACAAAAATAAAGTCCTAATATTTTACTGATGAGGTACAAAGTTCTCATGTTGCATTATTTAATTTCCCACCCCTGTCGTCTCTCACTTCAGGCCCTGTAATGTATAGCCTAATTTCTGTATTCCTTATGAAGAAATAAACTATTTTTACATTTTTATAAAACTGAAATTGAGAAAATGTTTTCCCTTCTTTTGTTGATCTTGAATGTGTGCGGTTGTGATATTATCTTTTACCTATGGAAACTACAGAAATGTACTTCTCGTGTACTTCTGTAATGCTTGTGGTACTGTAGTGTGTTTTTCTCAGGACATACACCACTTTAATTTCCCCACAATTCAGTTTAATGCAAAACAAGATTTTGAATCAACTAATACCAGTTCTATACGAAAAATACACATACTGCCATGGCATTACATCTTTATATCTTTAAAGGCCCCTATGCACACTACTTTGGTACAAGTCACACATATACTGTACAGTATTCTGTAGATTATTTGGGGATAGAGAATAGTACATACTCTCGAAACTGCCTTTGAAATTGTAATGCGTTTTGTATCCATTTTTTTGTGTCCGTTTACACTGGACAAAGGTATATGCTAAATTAACTTATTACTGTATAGCCTTAATTACTGTTCCTGATAAAAATACTATTACAGTTACTGCCACTGCTGAACAAAGTACTACAGAAAAAGACAACGTTCAGGCTCTTTGGCATATTATTATTTTTCTAAAGAAACTCAGTTGTTTGTCCTTCTGGTGTTAATTTTAAATCCTACCTATAACCGATTTTTAACTTTGGATTTCCATTAATCCATTGACACATCTATTCAAAAGTATATTGAAAGGTTAAAATTTTGACAGAAAAATTAAAGAGCAAGAAATGGAGAAATATATGCATACCCATAAATAGTTTTGACATATTTATATTTTCAATTAAAATTTCAGCTGAATTTTATCAGAAGCAGAATCAATTGTTCAAACAGCAATGGCATCAGACGTAGAAAAATGCACACATTTTCAAAAATGAACAAAATTAGACTGAATAGGTGCCTTTCAATTATTTAGAACAGAATGCATACAGAAAATAATGTGCGCCAGAAAAAAAGTAAGTTTTCACATTCCCTTGTGAGTTTCATGTCACTATGGTACAGATGGAAAAAAAAACATTTAAAAATCTGAACATATAAAGCAAATTTGTGTCCTTTTGATTTATTGCTTTTTTAAAATATGTAAGAAGTTTATTCTTTATAAGATACTAGGAAAGTCACTGGGTACATTTCTGAGGAATAGGAATTAATATTGATTAACCCACACATTGTCAAGCTAGGTCAAGCAGCTGATGACCACTGTGTCCGCCAGGGATCACAGTGACTGGTTTAAGTGGTATTGGTGCAGTTTGTGTTTGCGCCAGCAGAGGGCGTATGAACCAGGAATCAGAGAGAGCACAGCAACGAGGAGCTCTGGGCTAGAGAGGTGAAACGGCTCAAGTTGAGCACCATTGAGTGCAGGGAAGTGAGTTTTGTCCTCCCCCCTTCATGAAGAGCAAATAAAATGTCCTGCAATGTTATTATTCCTCGAAGAAATATCCTGTTATTTACACTAGCCTGCTTCACTAAAACACTTTCTGAACTCAGCATCAACACAAAGGTACTTCTGTTTTGCTCCCTTGCTACTTGTACATATTTTGTCAATGTGGCAAACAGCACATACGCATGCACATGGGTGCCTGAAGTACGTTTCTCCAATTTCTAAGAAATTACTCAAAAGATGAGATGGATTTTTCAATACCAAGCAGAAAAAAATGAATGAAAATACCAACAGTCATGCCATTCTTTCCTTTCATTCTTGATGTGAATTTGCTTAAAGTGTGCACGTCTTTGCTGTTAAACGTCTGTGACTGATGCTGTCGAGCTGTCTGCAAGTGCTAAATAAAGATGTAAAGTGTCTAGAACTTACATTTTACCAGGGACAAGAGGACATTAGCATTATAGCTCTAAGCCTTTATTTTTTCTATTCTTAACTGTATTTAGAATGAGAGGTTGAACCTATATCACAGAGATCCATATTTGTTTGGCCTTTTGATGTCTGATGTGAATGATTTTTGTATGTTTGTGCCTGTATAACTCTTTGCACTGGCAAGACCTACGGAATAACAGCCTCAAGTCTCCTTCCCAAAAGTTAATTGTATTTACACACTTACTGGAAAAATATTTTTTAAAGATATATGTATAAATATACCTTCATATATTAATAAAATCCTGTTAAAATTAAGAGAACCAGAAAATAAGGTTATTTTTTATTATTATATTATTTTTTATTTTTTATGTTCACTTAGATATTCATGTGTATTTTAATGTAGTCTGCTTATATATAGTTTCAACATGTTTTTTGTTATCAACAGGATCTGGCTTGCAACAGAATGCAACCATAAATACACACATGCACAATCAAACACGTTTACAACCATTCAGTGACACACAAAATCACACAAACTGCTGGGTATATGCTGCACACAGGAATCTAAAGTCCTACTAGGAATAAAATACATAATTTTTATTTAGCATCCTTCATGATGTCTGAGCAAACCAGAATACAAATGTTTTAAAAACAGACATTTTCTTTCTGGGGATACATCCACGTGCTGTAGACACAGTCACTGTGCTACAGGCTACACACATAAATGGCGTAACTTACACTTTTATTACAGCAACTGTTTCCTGGCTTCAGACAGTTATGTGTTAAAAAATAGAAATGTAGGTTAGAAAATGAATTAGGATTATATGAAACAACATGTGAATGCTGGTATAGCTGCATATTTATGATTGTGCAATGCCAATTAAAACTAAAAAGAAGACAGAAAGATGGGAAATACTAGGCAGGGATGCTTTATAAAACCCCTTTGTCAAGAACATTTATTGCTCTCAAGCACCTCTACAAGCGGCATTGATTCTGAGCCTGCTTTTGTGGTTTTTAAAATCTAGAATATATAACCCCAGATTGTATTCAAGAGCTGCTCTAGCTGTGTGTTCCCATGCAGAACAATTCTCAAGTCATTCACTAGGTACACAAACCTACATCCTCATCACAGCTAAAACAAACCTGCAAAAACAAAGTAATCAGATTTCAAATGATAACGAGTTGCAAAACAAAATTCCCTACTAATGTTTTATGATCACAGTGGAGTTTAACTTGATCACTTTTGAGAAAGACAGTTAGGAATGCATTTGACATGTTACATGTTTCCCAATAAGCCCACTGCTCAATTTTTACTTTTGAGTAACCTGCATGGAACTGATCAGCATCTTTCTTTGTTTGGGTACAGCTTTATACCAAATCATTGATTCCAGTGAGAGTTTTACTGATTCAGAAAACATAAAACATTCTACTCAAATGGTGAGAGCTGCCACTTTTAGCATGCATTACCAATTTAGCATGATACCTCACTGTTGACTTGATGGCTTGGTCTCAACTGATAATTGCATACCACCCTAAACATACTGTAGATCTCTCAAAATGTTCACATTTTTTCTGACACTTAATGATTGGGACCTAAACCCTGTTTGGACTTTTAGCTTTAGTTAATGTCACATGAAATACATTGGTTCACACAAGAACACTCTTCTCAGATTAGTTCTGTTTGGCAGTTTTGCTTGAGTAGGCCAGGATTTAAAGGTACATGATGTCCATTTAAACATCATGGGGCATTTGCTTAGTAACCAGCAAGCACTCACACAGCTTTATTAATAACTTTGTCTACCACGGTCTACAGGCACTAACCTCAAGAGTTTTTAAACAAATATTTTTGGTGTTTTATACAGTATTTTGTAAATACACACGTACTCCTCACATTTATGCAGTTTTATTGCCAACAGTTTCACCAGTTTCACTAGAATGTTTTTCTTATTTCTTCTATCAGATTTTTTTTTATTAAGGGCATTAATCTCTTTAAAGTTCCTGCAAAAGACCTTGATAGACTACACCTCTCCAGTTCTATTCCTCCTGACTCGGAGATGAAAAATGATTTGTTTTTAAAGGATCAAAGAGCATACCGACATGCTGGTTGCTAATGTCTCCAATAGATTCTCCGCACTTAACGAGTATCTATTACTCCCAGAACCTGGTCCCACTCCACATTTCTTATGATTCTTTCATTTCTTTAAAGTTCTTGTCTTGCTGTTTCATGAATCTATAAAAAGAGAGCATGGTACATTAAACAAGCAGCAGACTATTGATTAATGTGCCAGCTTCTACAGACAGTAATCATGGTGGCCTCTTTTCTAAATTCTATATATTAAATATAATATAATACATGGAGAAAAATAAATGCAAGAGAACAGTTGCTGTAAGTCCATTTCTGCCTGTTGTACCAGTCCCACAGAAACACTGTGCACTGCAAGGCTCTGAGGGAGAGACACCACAACAGGTCGTATGTGGAGAGATCAGGAAGAATGATATTTCACTTCATCAAAACATCAAACTGAAAATAAAGAACACGAAAACTACGGTCATGCTGTTGCCATAAATATTCTGTGTTTTGTCGTCCTAATATTGATGGGCAGCGACTTGCTGTGTCACTCCCCTCCTAGAGGAGTGTGCTAGGCTCAGCGGTTTGCAGGATGCTTTGCCAGTCCATGTGCCAGTCAAGTCCTGGCGCTATGAAGGATCAATAAATAATACTATATTCACATTTTGTAGACCTACCTTTCCTGCAGAAATACCAAGATTAGTCAGTAGGATGTAAACCCCTGTGCTCTTTGATTTGAATTAGCTGGCTCTCCATGGCTGTGTTTGAATGTATCGGATCTAAGATCCACCTGTAGTCTGACCAGAGTTCACCCAAGTTGTTCTTGATCTAGATATCATCAATTGATGGGTTGGGTTCAAATTTATTTAAATTCACAAGCCCCTCGGTACTCAGTTACTATACTGGGCTAAATAATATGGTTAATTAGAAACTCCTAGACTGAGTTCTCTATGTTAAGTTAGTCAACATTAAAGTCATAACCATTGAAATCCCTATGTTTCACAAACTGCACTGGCCCTCTACTCACTTTAACTGTAAACTCTATGTTAATAATACAAACACTTGCAAGGCCTGAAAATAGCTCAATGCATTTCATGTGAAGATATTCTAAATACTAGCAGCACTGTCCTATACTAATTTATTTTAACTCCTCTTTTCTATTATCTGTAAGGAATTGAGCTTAGATGATGGACTCAGTGGCACAGCTTTGGTGTAGTTTGTAGCTGGGTGCTGTAAATCATACCAACTGATCTAGACATAGGTCTCAATTAAATATTTACAACAGATGTTGAGTAAAAGCTATCTTGCCAGAAAGGATCTGGAATGACTGGTTTCATCCAGCTGTCCAGGACATGCTCCAATGAGATGGTGAAGAGACCTGTAAGTACCTTGGAAAACTGCCTGAAAATAGGGTGATTCTTCCAAATAACAGATGTTAATAAAATCCTTACATGCATTATGGTTGGTCTGATGTTCTTAAAATAAAAAACAGTGATTAAAATAATATTAACAATAAAAGAATTATTAAAATATTACAGTGTGTTTGGCACAAGAACAACAACAACCAAATAAAATCTTTGCTTTTTTATCCCCTGAAAAAAGGCACAGAGTGAAACTCAGTAACCAATACATCAGCCAGGTGGACTACAGAATTAAGTCTAACTTGCTTTGGTGTTTGTACTGTATATACAAGATGGGCACTCTTACTTTATAATCTCTTTTTTCAGACAGAACAAAATTACTCTTTTTATATAAATGTTCTTTAAAATAATAATCTTTTTTATTCTTTCTTCTTTTATAAATCCCCTCTTCCCTTTTTAGCGGAGTTTTCCCCAAGATGTGCTGTCTTGTTTTGATCGACTTCTGATGGATCTCTTGCGCAGTCTGCGATTGGAGTGGGCTGCTGGACAGAGAAGCGCAGGCAGGGATTGTGTTATTATTAAGAATAAAATCATAATACGGGTCACTTTCAGTGTTATTTTAATGATACTTTTCATGAGAGCTCATTGACAATGAACACATTCACATGCAGTTAATGTAATGCTCAATTTAGATTGCAATGGTGCTGTACAGTACATCTTATCCTCATTCTCAACATTTGTACATCCAGACCAGTGAGATTTTGGCTCACTTGTCACTTGTGAAATCTTACCTATCGAACTGTTAATTCAGACAACCGAATATTAATGCAACCAATTTTGCATACATGAATCTACTGTATTTATTGTGCCCTTTGTTTCAAACCTGCTAATGTAGTTTCAACACTTTTAAGATGAACCCAATTTAGCTATATTTAATTTTTCATGGATATCAGACTGCCAGGCTCATCTCTCACTAGCCTTATTGATCCTTCTGCTGGAGATGTTTAGCTAATTCTCTTGATTCTTCCAGGCTGAAGGTAGTTTGGGTATAGAGTGGATGGGACTTGGTTTAGAAGAGTTTAGAAGTAGACTACAAAATAATAATAATAATAATTGCTTACACTTATATAGCGCTTTTCTGGACACTCCACTCAAAGCGCTTTACAGGTAATGGGGACTCCCCTCCACCACCACCAATGTGCAGCATCCACCTGGATGATGCGATGGCAGCCATAGTGCGCCAGAACGCTCACTACACATCAGCTATCAGTGGGGAGGAGAGCAGAGTAATGAAGCCAATTCATAGACAGGCCATGAATGATAAGGGCCAATGGGGCATTCTGGCCAGGACGCCGGGGTTACACCTCTACTCTTTATGAGAAACGCCCTGGGATTTTTAATGACCTCTGTTTTACATCTCATCCGAAGGACGGCGCCTGTTTACAGTATAGTGTCCCCGTCACTATACTGGGGGATTAGGACCCACACAGACGGCAGGGTGAGCCCCCCCCTGCTGGCCCCACTAACACCGCTTCCAGTAGCAACCTTAGTTTTTCCCAGGAGGTCTCCCATCCAGGTACTGACCAGGCTCACACCTGCTTAGCTTCAGTGGGCTGCCAGTTGTGAGTTGCAGAGTGATATGGCTGCTGGCTAGATCTTTTACCATTATAAGGTAAAACAAAAAAGGAAAACATGAAAAACATCTACCACAGCTGGAAAGATTTTTTTTCTACCACAGAAATACATGATTGAGGTTAATGTTTTTAAAACTAGCTTTTTATGAACCGATTCTAAACTACAGTATGTCTCATCTTTGACCAAACAAGGAAGACTCACAATCTATGCACTCCACGTGTGGCTGCTCCCACTGGCCATCTGACAGGCATCGGACTACAGGAAGGTGGCGCTGTGTGAACCCAGGGTTACACTGATACCGTATAATGGAGTTCACCTCATAACGATCCCTCCTCTTCCCAAAAAGCCTTGCATTTTCCACCTCCGGAGGAGACCCACAAGAAACTGAGAGCAAAGACAACACAACAGCAGTGACCAAAATGAACTACGTTCCTGTAATGAGGACATGACTAAGATAAGTACCAAGAGGTGTCACCCCACCCTGCATTTAACTTCCTAACTTGATTAACTTGACAAAAACAAGAAAAAAAAACATTTTAAATCATGTCAGAGAATGGTATTTACTGGCAACTTCCAAGTCTTTTTGCTCATTAGTAAGTTGACCAGTCTCCTCTAATACTACATATATTTGACAGATATAAATCTGAAGCTAAGGGGAAAAATATTTCTTCTAAAATACACTGTGTCCTGCTTAATTTTGGATGTCTTGATATTTACTGTTGTACTAAAGGCCCTCGACCCTCCAGCAAGGAGGAAAAGACAGTTCTTTAACACTCCATTAACTCCATGTACCCACGAGGGGGGTGCACACTCCACTGTAAGATGTTCAGATTGGTGTGTGTGTGTGTGTGTGTGTGTGTGTGTGTGTGTGTGTGTGTGTGTGTGTGTGTGTGTGTGTGTGTGTGTGGCTTGATTTCACATCAGTGCACCAAGGTCTTGTTTCACCACAGCACCTCAGGCTCCTTTGCTTACTTGTCCCTTTCTTGCAGGTGAAGGGCAGATGGTAGTTGCAGGGTACATCATTCCATTGGCCTTTCTCGTGCCAGATCATCACCACGCAATCCTCCTCTGTGATGAAGTAGTTATCTGGCTGGTTTGGCCTCCAATTCTCATATTGCTAGGTTCAGTAAAATCAGACAAGCATTAGAGTGAAGTTTAATTGTAGGCCTTTTCACGCTTGGCAAGAACATCACCCAACTTTAAACCTCTTGCAGTATCAGACCTTTGGGACTTTGCATACTGGCTGAGTTCATTTTGTTTTGCATTACCCAGACAAATTCAGATGAAGCCTGCTCCTTAAAACATTAACACACCCTGTTGCGCTTTTCAGGTATTAACTAGATGAGTTTGAACATTCTGCCCAAAGACAAAGAACATTTGATTTAAGGGAACTAAAAAAAGATCGTTCACATGCAAGTTTCTTTTCTTTAAAAAAATGGTTGTTTCGTTGTCTTTTATCTTTTGTTGAAAGCAATGAGAGGCTGACTATTCCTCTCATAGCAGGGGGTTTGCTCACTACAGTGGTAATAACTGGGGAAACGTAAAGTGTTCAATAGGTTTGTTCATCTCTTATTAATTAGTCAGCAGGACATTGTGCAGAAGAAAAGCGCTTGGCAAGAACTGACCAGGGGGTGTCCATCAGACCAGTGGAAGTCATTCTCCAGTGTCCTATCATTCAGGCCAATCCACTGGTAGTCCTGTGCATTGTCTGTGAGGGAGGAAAGTAGTGTAAGACTTAGTACGCAACCCAAAAACATTCAGGGACTTTTACTGTAGACAAGGCTTAAAGGTGAGGATAATATTCCTCGACAGGATAATATTCACTGGATGCCATTCTGGTAAGGGCCAAATGGAAGAAGGGCACTGGGTTAGCAAGAATTCTCAAAACCTGCACATGGGGACTCATTTCAGTCTTATGCATCCTTGTGTTGTGATCTGTGACCAGGTCCCGGGACTCACAGTTGACGAATTCCTGCTCCTCCGGTGTGATGATGCTGACCAAGTGAGAGCCGAGGCTTCGGCAGTGTCGCTCCGCATCCACCCACGTCTCCCGCTGGGGAATGTGTCTGTAACAGTTTCCCTGGAACTTCTGCCAGCCCGATTCACAGCTCTGCAGGTCTGCAGCGACAGCAGGGGCAAAATCACACCATATCCCCAGCGGGGCATGGGGCATGTGGGTTATTTCGGCAGAGGTGTGCCAAGACAATCCTGGGGAAAAGAGCTTTGGGAATCATCATGATTATGCATACTTACATCAACTCACGAACTCTTACATGAATGAATGTGAATTTTCCCTGATTCACACTATGTTCACATTTCATTCTGGAAGAACATGTATTTCTGATGAACAAGCTTTATCAGCTTTAATTCAGTTGTTTGTATGCCAGTACAGACAGCACAGAATACAGGTACCTTCAAATCAACACTATAATATATCACACTGGGTATTTATATATGTATGTATATCATACATAAAAAATATAACCAAATATGACATGTTTTAAACACCTGCGGACTTTGACAGTCGGAACTATACCCATTCTGTATCAGAGCGATCATGTGTATTTTAGGTCCTTGCTGCAGGAATTGTAAAACGACCGCAGAACCATGTCATGACAATTCATAGCCAGTCTGAATTTATCCTTCTGTCCTACAAGGTGAAGGGGAGTTAGGACTCTGTAAATGAAAGCACATTATCCTCTGCCTGGATAATATCTATGCCATTGAGCAGTTCATATGGAGCTCATGAACTGTGCATGTCATTAAGTGCTTTATTTACATCAAGTCTTTAATTTGTTAAAAAGGTGGTTTCTATAACATAAATACAAAGTACAAAAGAGTTTACCTGATTCTGTTAAATGGAACCCAATACTCTCCAATTATTAGTGGGCAAAGTGGATCATTTGGAATCATGTAGATTTTTCTACACCACTCAAGGATGTCTATTCATTCCGTCACCACACTCAAACACATCACTGCTTCATGCACTGACAACCTTTAGTGACATGGAAGGAATAGTAACAAAAAGAGACCTTGGAAAGACCGCCAGGAGATAAAAGTACATTTGCTGTAAAAAAATACAAATAAATACAACTTTCCATGGCTGAAACCGGAAACCACAGACACCTGCCAGACCAGTGACCGAAGAAGCGACACGAGCGTTTAATTAATGCTTAACGGCAGGGGAGGGGTATGAGAGGCAGTTAGTAAAATTAGCTCAAGCCATCGTCGTACCCATCTCACAATGGTCCCCTCCATAGCTGGGAAGGCATAAGCATTTGTAAGAGTCGATGCCATCGATGCAGGTAGCTCCATTGACGCAGGGGCTTGAGTAGCACTCATCGATGTCTGCAAAAAATGAAGGGTCCGCTGTTAGGATTCCTGCTGGGGGGTACGACCCAGAGCAGGTGCTTGTGGGAGAGGCCAAGAGGGGGCTGGAGGGGAGATGGAGCTTCTATTGGAAATGTGCTGCTGGAGCTCAACAGTTGTGCTGCAACAGTTGCTATCCGTATTCTAATTAACGCTAAATGGTTTCAGACTAGAATCTGAAATTCTGTGCATTGTCAATAGCAATTGGGAAAAGAAAACATAAAATGAGAACAAAATCTGTATTTATTGAAACTTACAATGTGCTTTATTTACCTACATTGATTAAAGAAACACAGTATTGCTTAGCAATAGATTATTATTTAAAACCAGAGGAATTGTGTGGATTTTAGGTTTTCTTTGAATTTGTCACCTCATGGACGAAGTATTGAAATAGGCAACAGGATGATGCTTTTTTGACAGAAGCCAAAATTGTGATTGTCTCAAACTGTAAATGATCAATTTTAAATGATGACATAGGGATTAACAACTTATTAGGCAGCAACAAAAGTGTACAGACACAAAATAGAAGCTGAGAAAAATAGTATGACAGAGATGGGTGCAGGCCATTTAAGCATGCAGGAGGACTGGAAGGGAAGGTGCGAGTTAGGCTTGACTAAAGCAAAGGCTGTGCAGGCACAAAATGGCTAAAAAGAATGAAAGACAGAAAGTCTCCCATTCTACAGAGACAACTCCTCACAGACATGCCACAAAACCTGAAATACACAGAACACATAGGCAGTGATCACATATCACAAACAAAGGACAAAACATACAACTATCATTGAGACAAAAAAAGAAGAAAAAACAACATCCAAAGGCTGAATGCTCCAAATATTCAGAGTAATCTCTAAATCACACTCAGAGCATTTAGCACATGAAAAGCATGTGGAGAGAGAGCTGCCGATTGTTGACTAATCTAAGGACAGTCACATATATTTTGCTAACGTTTTCAAAATCTAGGATTTGGAACAAAGGCAGTAGTATTTGAAAAAAAGTATGAACTGATAACCTGCTTAAGGCACAGTAACAAGCCAGTGTAAGGGACTGAATCTTCTAAGACATATTTCAGATGTTTTTCAACCCACCTTAAGAACACTGCAACAATATTTCATCAGAACGTAACCTTGGAAAATAATGATTCAATTTGACACAGTAAACATTAGAAAACCAGAGGAGTCAGGGGTTCTGACAGGGCAAATCAAACCATTCATTTGTCCTTGACACATTAAATGAAAAAAGCATTAGTCCCTGACAAGCTTTGTAATATGGTCACACAGTAATACTTATCAAATGACCAAAAGAGAAAGTAAAGGATTTAGCACAATGGAAACATGTCCTTGGACTTCATTGGACTTCATTACTATTTCTGTATAATAGTTCTTCAGAAATCTGTGGAGAAACTAACAATTAAAATTCTTTTTCCATTTTAAATTCCCTCCACCACCACCCCTCCCATCTTTGGATGACAATTTTATTTATACAGTATGATGTTTTTCTCTCTTTTTTGATATTCTCTCAAAGTGCCGTTAGTGCCTTTCACGTAAGCCTCTAATGGGCTTTATACTGTACATGTTTAAGTTAATTCATTTCCCTGTCCTAGCTGTACACTATCTTTTCATATTTCATTTGTAACACAGCTTCATTAATCCATTCTGTGTGTGATGGTCCTATAATATTCACCCAGTTTCACAGAAAAATTATTCTAAGCAATAATACACAGACTCAAAAATCTAAAATATTTTTATGCTGAGTTGATGTTTTAACCCCTGACAAATTACCCAGGATACAGGAGATAGGAGTGAAAGGAACTGAAATAATTAAGTACTGTAAGTGTCCTGTGTACCATGGTGTCCAAAAAGCCTGAACATGCTGGCAATCCCTTAGTAAATGTATTAATAATCCTTTAGATTTATTACATTTTACATCACAACTCAATTTTCTCCTATTTTTCAGGAGTATAATATAGTCTGTTTAAAATCTTATACTGAACTAAGATATTGGAATAATATATGATGAATAATTGACATTATTCTAGGCTATATCCCTGTTTCTTTCATCCGACCCCATAGATCAGCTATCCAATGGGAGCCACAGCTGTCAAATGCCCTATCTGACTACGCATTGAGCAGATTATAAAATATCCAAGTCTTCGCCTGTATATTAGTCTGTATTAATTCATCACTGTGCTTGTCTTTTTGCTGATGCAGATCACTAAGAATAAAAGTGATAGACAATAGGATTTTAAGCTTTACAAAATTCAGAAATTCTTTTTCTGGGAGAAATGTTCAATACACTAATTCTGAGAATGATATAAGGTTGTTATCACTAATTACATAACCTAACTTGCTAATATCTGCCTAAATGCATACTGGTTAGTTAACTGCCTGTTAAACTACTGCATGCTCTTTGATTAATAGAAAGTAATTCATCCTCTGTGCAGACAGACTACAGAAATCTGAGGCATCAGGGGAATTTGTCCCAGGTCTATGGTCTCAATGGAACCCATTGGCAAGAACAGAAAGTAGCATTGCTGATGTGCTCCGCTTCATCTCGTATTGGTTTGGTTTTGAGACCTCAATGAGGTTATCGTTCAGAAACACCACACTTATCGGACACTCACAGTAAGATGAACAGAAATGCTTCTGACTGACATGCGTACTTAGAAGACCCTGGACAGCAGTTTTGACTTGAAATACAGTCCTTCTTCACAGACAGTCTTAACTGAATCAAAATGGAATGCCATCATCAACAGGATATCCGAATGAATGAGAACCCAGCACTTGGAACTCACCCAGCTGGCACTCATCTCCACTCGCGCCAGGTGGGCACTCGCAGTGTCCGATCCCATCATGCACAGAGCATGAGCCTGCACCACATGGGTTGGGATTGCATGGGTCATGGGATTCTGAGAACAAAGCACAGAGTCAGTGTGCTAACATCTACAGATGATAAGGAGCAGCCTGCACATCTATTATTAAATCCAAAATTCATTCCTTTTTACACATTGTCCAAATTATTTAGACCTCTGGCTTGTTCACTTCTTCATTGTAGATTAGTGCCAGTTCTCAACTCCTAAGTCAACAGCAACAGGTAGTATTTTTTGAAAAGCAGAATGCTTCTTGCTGAATGTATTTTTTGAGAAATTGAATACTCAATAAAGGATCATGTTTACAGCATGTTGTGTAGTGTACATATTAGTTGTAGTATATATACTGTAGTGTATATGTTATTTATGTTACATTCAGCACTGTCATTAACTTCAATTAATCTCCTCAGGTGATAGTAAAAAATCTATTCATTTTAAATTTGAAATTGTAGCTGTCTTATCTGTATGTAAAGGAGCACAGATATTGGCTATCTGTAGAAGGTGATTAAAATATCTAGATTGTGTGCTGACATACCATCCACTAAGACAGGTTCTTCTATTACTGATGGTGTCTGCAGAGAAATGGCAGAAGCAGTAGTCACAGTGACCGGAACAGCAGGAGTGACAAAAAGTTCTGGTTCAGAAAGGGCCTCTTCTGGCCCCACTGTGCTGCTTAGAATTTCATGATCTGCGGAGCCGGAGGACAGGATTACAGAAGCCGAATCACCAGAAAGTATCCCTGATGTCTCTCCACTGCCAGACTGCTCCCAGCTCGCAGAGGGTAAGCCAGACCCTTCTCCGCTAAACTCCACGGTTCCTCGGCCCAGCTCCTGGGTTAGCACTGGCTTGGTGGAAACTTCTACCATCTCTTCTTGGGTTATGAATGTGATGTCCCCACTTTCACCTGATATCTCTCCTGAAGTTAAACCAGATTCCCCACTGATGTACGGAAGACCAGATGCACTAGCGGGATATCCACTTGTCTCACCAGATCCCGATACAAAATATCCTGAGGGACCTCCTCCCACTTCCTGCTGGTCCATTGGTCTTAGTGTCAGTTCAGTATAGTTCGGCTGGACAAAAATCACTTCTGAGAGTCCTGATTCAATTCCACTGAAGTCCTGGATTCCAGACGCAGATCCACTTGGAGCAGATCCGCTCTCAAACCCACTCACCCCAGATGTTAGTCCAGAGATGTCATCAAACCCAGAAAAATCCCCACTTATGCCTGAGATCCCAGATGGCAGCCCTGAGAAGTCCCCACTTTCTGGAATTCCAGAGGAGCTAAAGATGTCAGGAGTAGAGCCACTTTCAACTAACATTCCACTACAAAACATCCCACACAGCCCACTTGAATCTCCTGATTCCATCCCAGAAGGCAATGTAATAATTCCGGAAGGCCCTTCTCCAGCTTCTTCAGGTAGCCCAGATGTAGATCCCTCTCCAGATGGCACCATTCCACTTGAGAGCAAAGTCACTGAGATATCTGCACTACCGTCAATGATCCCTGATGCGCTCCCAGACACTCCAGAAATGTCTGGAATTCCACTGGGAATTTCCGCACTGCCACTTGCTGAGCCATCAGCTGAAAATATGGGGCCTGAAGGTAACTCAGCAGAGCCAGAGCCAGAACTAGTTACCTCCACAAAAATAGGAGGTGCAATCGAGGGGCTCACTAGAGAAAGAAAAAGATGGAGAGAGAGAATCAGAAAGTCTGTGGCTTAGATACTGTATGGTGAAATAAAAAAAATACACATTATACCCTTAAGAAAAAAATAAACAGAGCTTTCTAGTAAAAAACAATTTCACTGACACATAATATAATAAACTGTGTGTTTTTAATGGCATAATGGGTTCATTTACCATCAACATTTTGATGGTACAGTATATTGACCCATTACCATCAATGATAATACCATCAACCAGAGAACGAGTTTTGCAATATCCCTGTAAGATGTATATCCCTACAACAAGAAGCAGGGATATAAATATTTAATACTGTATCTTTAATGTTCAGTCTCATAAGTCATACACTGTTCAAAGAGATTTATTACCAGGCCTTAGCAGTCCCATTAGCGATGTTGCATTTATCAGATCTTCAAAGTCTGTGATATTCAGTCCAGTTGCGTTAAGATCAGCTAGAAAGAAGAAAAGGTATTCTTAGTTATTCAGTTCTTGCATTCTCTGGATCTGCTGTATAAAAGAAGCATACAATTAAACCATATTTGTATTGAAATACTGCTTCATGCAATGTGGGAAAACTAATTACAATGGCTATTCACTATTCACAAATGTATTCACTACAGTTGGATTTTTCCATTTTATTGTGTTAATATATGGAATCATAAAATATTTAGTGGGACTTTTTTGCTATTAATCAACAATAAATAAGGCATAGTGTCAAAGTGAAAACAAACTTCTACATATTCTCCTAAATTAATTATGTATACTTTAAAATCTAAAAAAGTGTATATATCTAATTATAAGTATAAATAGAATTTAAAGAGATGAAAATATGCACATTCATGCTTATCCCAGGAAAAAGATCCCCAGTTGCATTGCTTGATTACAAATGGCACTCACCCCGGAAGCAGTAAGCATCGTATCTGGAGGACAGGTTAGGGTAGCCTGTTTGGTTGGGTGAGAGATAAACGGTATGGACAGCAGCTTTGCCACCACCACACTGTGGCCTGGGGTTGGTGATGGGGTACCGGACACTGCCATCAGCCAGCCAGCCAGCTCGACATTTGTCAAATCCCTGTTTCCATGCAGCATATAACTCCGCAGTAGAGGCCAGAGTGGCATTCTGCTCAACGCAGGAGGACATGGCTTCATCATACGTCAAGCCCCCCGGTGAACTAACATGGAAAACTTCACCTAAAAGACAGAAAAGTGCACTTTTTCACTGCTGTAACTCTTCAAAAACAGCGTTACCTAATCGTAGTTCTATTAAATTGCAGTTCATTCAGAAAGAAAGCTTTAAAAACTTTGAAGCTTTGAAAGCTTTGAAACGTTTGCACACAATTCTAAAGAAGTTTGCTTTGCACATAAAAGCTTGACACTGAGCAGCTCTTGAGTGTAGGAGACTGCTAACCCCCGAATAGCTTTATGTGTTATTGTAGATGCTTCAAAATCAATTGCTTACATAACTGGTAGCCAGGGCATGGACCTGAGGAATGAAGTAATGTTTTCAGAGACAATACAATTGGTAAGCAATCAGGTGTCATAGACGCACGTTGCTTCTTAGTTTTTTTAATAAAAGTTCTAATTCACAGAGTGCTGGTGCTCTTACCCCTTAGTCCATCAATGTAGCAGTAAACATCGTACCGCTCGTCTGCAGGACGCACGCCATAGTTCCGCACTCCTGGGAGACCATTCATATCGCCATAGCAATTGTCTCGTGGAGAGACAATTGGATACCTTTACATTAGATAGACCAAGATATGTCAATATAATCACACCAATGTAATATGCGATGAAATCACATTGCATCCTAATGAACAACATGTGGTCTTTTCAAATTGCGATAAGCTGTTGGCATGGGAAAGTGAGAGGAAAAGTAGCTAACAGTGATTGGCAAACCCTTTATGACTGGCGGTTAGGAATGAATGCGTTACCTGACGGACTGGTCCAGAAGCCAGCCTGCATCGCACTGATGATAACCACTTTCGTAGGCAGCTTGGAGCTGTTCTGGGCTGGCAATTATTGCGCCAATCTTCTGACAGGCCAGCTGGGCCTCAATGAAGGTCAGGGAGTAGCGACTAGAGATCGGCCGGTAATGGAAGACAACGCCTAGTGAAACAGCCAATTAGCCCGTCAGTGATGAGAGCCATCTCGAAGCATTTTGTTCTCTAAGTCACGTTCATGTACAGACAGTAAAAAAGGACAGGTACAATTCACAACAGACAAACCAAGAATCAAATTTAAAACAAACATTAAAACATAAAAATACCAAATAGATCAATAAATACATAACATAGCCTCTCCACATTATACAAGGCATTGCATTTTAAAACTATTACTAAAATGCATTAACTACAGCCTATAGGTCACTATACACATCTACTCAGGTAATTCAGTTTTAAAAGACCACTAGTGGTATAATCCTAAATATAATCAAATACAGTCCTCCTTAACAGTCGGAATTTCACGATCCCTGATGTTTACACATGGAAACACACAGTACTTGACAGACAATTCTTCCATTGCAGCGGGTACTGGGGGAGCTCACCTGTGGGCGATAGCACAGCCTCAGGCTCTTCTGTGGGAGGGATGCTGGGTTCATAAAACTCTGTGGCATTCTCAGCAACAGGCTCAAGGCCTGTCTCAGGAGCAGCTGTGACCATGATGATTTCTTCTACCACCTCAGTGAAGTTTGCTGTGACCACCTCTTCAGTGACCTCGGGAGGTGGAGACAGGGGCAGATCTGTGACATTGTCCACTGGGTAGAAGAAGTCTGTGGTGACATTGTAGGGGAAGTCAGTGCTGGTGAAATTCATGGGCTCCTGCGTCACCAACTCTCCACGGGCCTCACTCTCCGTGGTGGCATTTCTGAAGAAGACCTCAGGGCCCTCAGTGAAGGTCCCTACGGTCACCAAGCCACTGCCCAGCTCTGTGGTCCCTGTCTGAAGTTCCGGTTGCTGGTATTCAATGGTGGTCACAGCAGAACCTTCTTCATCCTCTGAAAGAACAGGACCAAAAAATATGGCGATTTACCCACGTGGGAAAATAAAGTCCCGATACAGCAGGGTACATTGCGGCCATTCTAAATAAGTTAATTAAGACTGCACAAAGAGCTGCACGTGGAGCCACTTTCATATAATACATGCTGCCATGCTAGGTTTCAGAACTCTAATAAGAAAACAATGCCTAGCAGTTTAGCAGGGCATGTAGTGGTATCTAAATACAATATGAACATGACACTCAAAGCAGACATAATACATATCCATAGTACCTGGAGAACATCCAAACTTTTGAATTTGACTGGAGTCCTCAGAAGATAATTGGAGGCCACATTAACTGGACTGCCTTTTATATTGGAGAAAAACTGACGCCAGCATACTGAGGCATAGCTCACCTTGGTAGCAAATAGCATCATAGCGGGAGTCTGGGTAGGGGTAACCAGTCTGGTTCACGTAGAGGTAGACAGTGCGGACACCCACAAGGTTCCCTCCGCAGTTGGGCCGGGCGATTGAGATGGGGTAGCGGACACTCAGGTCTGCCAGCCAGCCCGCACTGCACACATCCATTCCCTTCTGCCAGGCCAGGTACAGCTGCCCAGTGGTGGCAAGTGTGGCACCCAGTTTCATGCATTGCTCCTCTGCTTCAGCAAAGGAGAACTTTTCCAGAGAGGTGGAATAGAAAACCCTGCCTGCAACAGAAGATAAGAAACTTACTGTATAATAATCACAATTTCCTTTAAAGATGGACTATGCTAAAGAAAATGAATACAGAGGACCTGGGCCTTTCTCATCACTGTAGGTTTGTTTTAATGGCAATGGAAATGTAGAAAATATTCAATTAGATCAGCTCTTTCATCTAGATATTGAAATGTACACATTAAACTGTTTTTAAGGATTAATAAAGGTTCCATATAGTACTTAAGAACTAAATATCTCCTTTAAAAACACCATTATTTATCTGAAGAAATAAAGGAATCATGACAATAAATACAAATTCCCTACAGCAATAGAAAAGGTTTGTCTGTGTAAGATGTTCATCAATAAGAATACAGGTGTATATTTTGTGCAAAAACAAATGATCATCTTTCTTGCTTATTTCATTTTCCAAGTACTCAAACTTTTGTCCATGACTGTAATTTTGTCTCTTTAACTTTTTGCTGAGCCCTGTTACATTGTCTACTACAATCAATTAAAAAACACATAAGATATATACAGTACCTTTCATCTGCTGTGCGAAACAGTACACATCATATGTCTCATTCACGTCTCTTACTCCATAGGTACGCACACCTGGGAACTCATCCTTGTCTCCATAGCAGCCTTCCCGCGGACTGTGAATAGGGTACCTGGGGAGAACACATGCCACTCAAAGCACATGATCAACAAGCCAGAGAGGAGCTACCCAGTTAGCGATTATATACTGTACAGACCAGGAAGGCTACAGAAGAAAGATTATTCTAATATGATTTACCTGCTGAGAAAACAAACTAAGAATAATAAAACCAAAAGAAAATTCATCTTTAACTGAACAGAGATACTGGGCCATCTAAAAACACTTTGGTGACCCAGACCTTCTATCTGGGTCATAAGGGCTCCAACTGCATTAGACTGAATAAGCTGACTTGGCCAACCTTTTACATGTGCAGATTGTTTCTTCGCACTTGCTTTCCCTGTGTCCACTTAAATCTTTGTATTCTTCAGGATATGCTTAGTGTTCAATAACCTTTGGAGGTAGCCTTAACCGCTTTCATTTAAATAAAGCAAAACACTTCATTTACGTACACACACTGCTTCTTAAAACCCACGGCCACTTCTCAGGGTTTGTGCTTTTGTGAGAAAATCTAGCAGCACTGTTGTATGACATGCTATCTACCCCATCATTGCAGGAATTCTTTAGAAAGCAGAATAAAAACCAGCAGCTAAGACATCTGAGAAAAGTAAACATTTTCTCAGGATTTCATGGTGGGGCTGGGGAAAAGAAAAGAAAAGGCTGCTTTGTGCAAGATGGAAGTAGCAGGCGCGGAAGTACTGAGTTCAGTCTGTTTTCTAAATCTTTCTCAACAAAGCACAGAATGAAAGGACTTTCTGTCCTTTTTTTGTAAGGCAGCCTAATCTGCATAGTCAAATCTGCTTATTTAAATATTTTTTTAGAATTGTTTGAATCCCAAGTACACAATAACACTGCTCATGGAAAAAAAATCTTTGTGAAAGAGACATTTTGATTTTTTACTCGCAAAGAAACAAATCACAAGGTGTGAACACTGGCCTTTTACAACAACATTACAGAGGCACAGTGTTGCATCGCACCAGTGACTGGTGACTTCTGCAGGATTGCTGCTGTAAGGCCATACAGCATGTCGCTTGTTCCATTCTTTAACAAGGGAAGCCGGAGCTCACCTGACTGTTTGATCTGCCAGCCAGCCGGCGTCACACTGATGGAAGCCGTCATCATAGGCAGCCTGCAGCTGCTCTGGGGTGGCAATGACTGCACTGTTCTGGATACAAGCAGCCTTGGCCTTCTCGAAGGTTAGAGTGTAGCGTGTGGTGATAGCACGGTAGTGGAACACAATACCTGTGTTGTAAGGTGGTGGAGAGAAATGGACAGAAAAAATCATAACAAAGAGCACCCACCTTCATTGCATTTCTATAGATCTGCCATAGTTCTAAGCATGGCACCCATAGGTTTATAGGACTGGAGACCTGAGAAAAAACACCAACTATTTAAGACAAAACAGCTTCAGATTTCCTACAATATCACATCGGGAATTATTCATGCGAAACAAACTCCACCATTTTTTAAATACTTCGATTGGACAAGATAAAGGAGATCGCACATGGGTTCACGGTGATTCAGTAATGCAAAAGTTCGTGAGTTTGTGCGTTGGCAACTGAGTGCACATACCTTGGACTTGAACCTCAACAGTGTCTTCACTGTCCTCAATGCCATGCATGACCTCACAGCGGTAGATGCCAGAATCGCTGGAACGGAGCTCGGTGATCTCAATGGTGGCATCGGTGGGCACCATTGGGTAGTTGACCATGGTTACTCTGTCCATGTACTCGGAGGTTACGCGCACTTTGCCTCCTGTGGCCACCAAGATGACTGACTCGCCGTCCTTGGTGACGTGGCTCCATTTGATGCGGGGAGCCAGAGGGGCAACTGTGGGGGCACCAGGGTCATGGAGGGTGCTGTCCAGGAAGTAGCAGGGCATGGCCAGTGAGCCGCCCAGCAGGGGAAGTAGCGGGGACTCTGCAGGGACACTGACGCTCAGTGCATTCTCAGGGTCTGCAAAAGACAAGAGGTGGTGAGGAGACAGAAAGCCACACCAGCTATCTGCGTTAGATTACTTTCCACTTCAAAGAGTAAGAACACTACAGTATCTAAACTTACAGCACTGACACCTCACAGTTCTAGTATCATATCTGTGATTCTAGTTGGGGGTTTCTGTTTGTGAGGAGTTTGCATTTTCTTCATGTGTTCTCAAAGTTTTTGTCTGAAAGTTCCACATTTCTACCACATCCTAAAGATATAAAGGTTCGGACTGATTGTCTGCTCTAAATTTTCAGTTTCTGTAGAGGGTTCCAGGGAGATCTCATAGATTCAGAGGTTAATCCCTAGTACGAAAAGTACTGGGTATGGGACTAGGGAGAAGTAGAACAGAATGAGCACAATAGACCAAATGGCCTCTTCTCATCTGTGGTCCTTCTGAAGTTCTAAATACAAAAACACCAGATCTGACAGGTAGAATATGAGGCAATGCTGGAGCGAAAAAGATATTGAGTTCTCCTGCAGGAAGCTGAAGAGCCACTCGACATTCTTAAAGTGTACCTTCTTGTCTTAAACAACACATGAATTCCTGAAGGAAAAGCCAGATAAAAAATTAAATATGATATACAGTAGAATATAGATAGAGAGAAATACAATAAAACTGGATCATGAGATCACTCACCTGATAGTTCGACGGAAATTGATGCTGCGATGACACGCAAGCACACAAATACTAATAGTAAAGTGGTCATAGTTTACCTGTAAGACACAGAGAAACAGTTTCAGATAACATGCTGAAATATTAATCAAACTGTACTGATACTAAAGGAACAAAATGACCTGAAACAAGCAGTCTGTAACTTTCAAAGGTTTATGCTAATATTTTTTAAACATAGTAATTGTGATTAAAAGAGAAATATAGGATATTATTTATTTTTTTACTTTTTAAAGTTAATGGTAATGCTGAAAATATGGGTCTTCAAAACCAGCTGTGATATTTGCTAATAAGTAAGACATATACAACTGAAAGACACATGCTGAATGAGACAACTGAATGAGTACGACACTAAATGCACTAAAACTGTATAAAGGCCAAATGTATAGAGGAAAGGTATTTCGAGAAAGAACACTATGTTGTTGTGTCTGAAACGTTTCAGCATTTACTGTACATGCGTGCAGTCTTTGCTTCCAATATCAGGAAGAAATTAGAAATGCCAAAGAAATACATTTTCAAGATTTGTAGGTGAAATCTACTTCCAGGAAAAGATAGAAAATTTTGCATTCATCTCAAAGAAAAAAATTGAGGATCCAACTCTAACACATCTGGGTGGGAAACAGTCTCATCACCTCTGGAAGAGAGGAACTACAGTAGATCATTCTTTAGATCATCCAGTATCTGCTGCTGTATGGTCATGCTTTGGAGTGATGGTCATGCTTTGGACAATTGTGACCGTTTTAAACTTGATTTCCAAGGTTTCAAACAAATTAATGCAATTATAAGTGTCATCGTTGGCAGCACGTTTAGTACACCTCAGTTTAATATTTGAGAAACCTGATGTGAACAAACCCCACCCCATTTCCATTCTTTTTACAGGAATACTGCCAATTACAGTAAGTATTCATTAAGGACTTAACTGCAAAGACACATTTTGTCCACTTAAGGGCTATTTAAACCTTGAAGACCCCATTACAATTGCTTAGTACATCACGCACCACTTCCAAAGCATTTGCGACAGGTTTTTGACTCTTAACACAGGTGAAATCCTTCAGCACATATGTTCCTAAATGTTTTTAAAGCATATACCTTCAGTATTGCCATTTCCTTTGCTAATGTACTGTACTGTACGTCTCCCCTGTTCTTATTTTAAGTGTCAGTGTTGTATCTAATATGACATTCAACGCTGGCATGTTGCCACAACATCATAAGCAGTAAGAACACAATTAAACAGCTCACGTTTTGATGAGTACAGTTCTCATTCAGAACTGAATTCACACATGAGTTAACTGTTCCACAGTGAAATAAATGGTTTCAGTTCGAAACATGGGAACAAATTGTACATTAATGGAGATTAATACACTCATCTCCTTTCCTTAATGTTTCTTTCACTGCATACAAGTGGAAATATTCCATTATTACTTTTTTCCAAGTGGTCTTCAAACCTGGCCCTTCCTTACAAATGTATACTGAGAAGGTCTTGCTAGACTCATGTGCCCTGCCCTGGCACTTGATTAATTTGCAAACTAGAATACAATGGATATACTGTTGTAACCATATTTTTTGCCATAATGTACTTTTTATAGTACATTTAGAGTTTTTTATTGTGCTTCATCAAATAGACCTAATCTTATTCTAGTTCTTTACAATACATTGAAGAATATTTAATCAAAGCAGTGTAGAGAACCCCGGAATACCCCCTTTTATTTATTGTAATATGTAGAATTTAATTTTTAGTTTGAGCAATGTTTTCACTTTCAGTCTACAGTATGTAAAGTACTAAAAACAGATTAAAAAAAAAGTTTAAGAAAACTACCTCATATTATGACCATGGTTCTCAGCTCCGGTGCTAACAAAATGAAAATGCTTCAAAAGCATAAGCATGGGAGGTAGACATATTACTTCCCTTGACTGATAAGGCATGATTTATGGCACAATATAAAGCTTGTGCTTAGAAACCGGTACAGAATAGACACATAAGATAGACAGGTTTGATGGGGAAAAAGGAGTGCCAAACAGTATTTTGGTGAGACTGAGCTGACATCATTTATAGATATCTCTCAGGGACCTTTAAGGCATTTCATGTTGTTTGCAGTTACTGTACAGAACAGGTATTTTAAACTATTATTAACTACTTTTATTAAACTGTTATTAACTGCTTATATTAATAAATCATATGTTAATCAACAATTGCACTGCCACAATCTTTTTACATAATGTATTGCTCTGTAATTATTGCAAAAGTATTCTTCTTTCTTTGTACTTTTTATGTAAAATATAGTCAATTTGCCTTTTTTAAAGTTATCTGATCATGCAGTCCTCACAAAACTGTAATCTTTTGATGGTACAGCTTTCTCTTGCATTAATTTGAGAATAATTCCAATGCATTGCTATGGCACAAATCTTACAGTGTCTGCTGTGCGTTGCTGTGTTATCTGTACACACATGTACTGATCAGAATATAACAATGAAACGTTGTTATTCATTGGCTTAGAAGCTCCCATCTGATCATATTTAAGTAACTGAATACACAAAGACCTCCATTTTATCAGAGCCTAAATCAATGTAGATGAAATCTCTAAATGCTTACTTTTCCCAGCCAATTTAATGTTCAATGTTACTGTATAAAGCTTATTTTCCTGTCAAGGGAACCCCCACAGTCCCTCCTGGAGTTTTTCCATTCTTACAACACAAGGAAAAAGACTTTAATTGCTGTTTACATTATGCAAGGCAAGGAGCAGTTTATGGGGCTGGTTTCTAGTTATGAGTTTGTCCAGTATGTTAAAATGACCAACTTTGGATTTTTCAATAATAAAACACAAATGCATCAATAATGAAATCAGGTCAGCAATTGCACCCCTGTAATTTCTGCACCTAGAAGTCCTAGTTGAACCAAAATCCTAGCTACACATTATGTAAGAATTGGTGAATGAGAGCTCAAGATACTGGATCTCATTTAGAGACTCCATATTCTTAAAAAATGAACTGATTGTGATACATTTTTACTCATCCCTCTGTCTCTATAAATTGTACACTTGTGAGCTTATAAAAACCTTCCATACGGTGTATACACCTCAGTTTTCTCACATGATACAGTACATGTGATATGAGATATTCCAGTACAGAAAATTAAGACTTGACTTGTGTTAAATGACAACTGTAACTTTATGTCTTAATTCCCTTATTTGCCAAAATGGAGCTGTACAGATTGCAAGTAATCTCAACCTGCATCACAGGCTTCAGATACTTTGAGTGACATCACACTGGCTCTGGTCCATCCTAACTGCTTCAAGCTTGTCTGTACAAAGTGCAATAAAGTTTCCTTAATGCCACTCTCTCTGCTCTTTGGCCACTTCCAAGAACTGTAAGTGATTTTAGGAATGGCGTGAAAACTTGTTTAGCCAATTTACTGTGATGTATCTTTGACTTGTCCAAACAGATTAATTTTTATATATAAATGTGATCCAATGTAAAATTAATGTAAACAACTTACTGCAACAAACTGGACAATTTTGACAAAAAGGGTTTTTCTGCACATTTCTCTTTGATTTTAAAGTTATAAAACATATTGTCTACCAAATTTGAGTAGTTAACAGTAAATGCCTTCTGTAATACAAAATTCTAATCTCCTCTGTGAATTTTATTTCTCAAATTCTAAATGTTCAGTGCAGAATTTCTTTTAAATAATACCATCATATGGTTCAGCAGATTTATGGATAAGTCAGGATAGCTCATTGGCAATGGTGCAGTGAGAGGGTTAAAACAGTCAGGATTAGTCATTTCTGATGTCAAAGTGTGAATCAAACAGTGATTCATTCTCTAAATAACAAATCAAACAACAGTCCTGTTGTATACCTCTGTCAGTTTATATGAGTAATTATTCTGACAGCCCAGGAAATCCACTGCTCGATTACTCCAATACACCTACATAGTAATCAATTAGATGCCAAAACTCACTAGGAAAAATCAGGGAATGACCATAGGGAAGGTAAGGACAAAAGTTATAAGTAGGTTTATATCTATAAATCTAAAATACAGCACATTCACAATTTAGAATTTGCAGTTGATTCAGTATTTTTGCTAAATTTTCTACAAATTTCTAGATAATCTATACATGACAGCACAGGATAAGACGTGGTCTTAAAGCATATGGACATTCATGTTACAAATATTGCAATAGTTGTTTCGTCAGAGAACATTTATATTCCCCTACCTATGTGTGATCTTCAGGACTTTATTGGACTGCTTTATTGAAATAAAAGATTATACAATTTGGACAATCACTAACCTAGGAATTAGAATAGAAAACACTGATATTCATGCTGTGACTCTGCCATCATTTGAAGTCTCAGATTTAATAAACTTGTCCAATCACACAGCAGGATTTGGATATCGGGTAACTAATATACAGTACATGTGAGTTAAAGCACAAAAAATGAAATACAAATATTGAGCTGTAATTTTTCCATTGACTTTTCCTGACGTTTTAAATCCTGAAGGAAGAAATCTATAATTAACATTCCCGGTCTTACAGTTCAAGAAGACCATTACTTCTTGTTTCTATTCACAGTGCCTACAACATTCTGGAACTGACCACTGAAGCAATTAACCCAAGATGGCCTGAAAGAACTTCATTCAAACTGCAGATGTACAGCAGTGATAAAATTGCCATTCTTCAGCAAGGTTAATGGCTCATGGCCTTGGGATACAATACACCTTGTAGACGCAGCCTACAGTGGGAAAAGCATCTACCCCATTGATATAAGAAAACCTTTGAGAGCAAGGTTTTGACAACAGAAGCAGAAAAGCTTGAAGCCATCACTATTACCTACTGTAATTGAAAGCTTTATTATTAAGGGTGAAAGGCATCTAGTATAGTATGACCTGACACAAAAAAGGGCAAGAGAGAAAAAGACATGCAAAGCAACAAGCAGTGAAGACAGGCGCAGTTTCAATAATTAGGAAGAATGGGTAACAAAACTGGGAGATAACATAGCTCGGGATGACCTGTGCTTTAGAACATAAAGAGACAAACTAAGGATGA